TATGGGCAATTAACCTAAAACAAAGGAGGAAAGAATATACAATGGGGAAAAGACAGTCTCTTCAATAAATGGTGTTGGGAAAACTGGTCAGTTACATGCAAAAGAAGCAAACTGGACAACTCACACCACGCACAAAAGTAAACTCAAATGCATTAAAGATATAAATGTAAGACCTGTAACCATACAACTTCTAAAAGAAAACATAAGAAGTATACTCTTTGACATTGGTCTTAGTAATATTTTTTTTTGAATATGTCTCCACAGGCAAGGGAAACAAAAGCAAAAATAAACAAATGGGACTACATCAAATTAAAAAATCTGCACATAGGAAACTATCAACTAAATGAAAAAGCTGCCTACTAAATGGGAGAAGATATTTGCAAATGACATACAGTAAGTCCCCTACATACAAACCTTCACGTTTTGAACTTTCAAAGGTGTGAATGTGCGTTCCATCAACGTCAGGCATGAGTGAAATTGCAGCTTGCCCTCAGTCTTCTATTGCTGAAGATCTTTCAGCTCTACCCTCTCCCACCTCCTCTCCCTCCCCCAGTCAGTAACTCTTCTTGCCTGTTCCCTCAATGCCAGCTGTTGTACTGTACTACTGTACTTTTCAAGGAACCATACTGTAAGATTAAAAATGTTTTATTTTTTGTGTTTGTTTTTTATGTATTATTTGTGTGAAAGGTACTATAAACCTATTATAGTACAATACTATATAGCCGATTGTGGTAGTTGGGTACCTAGGCTAATATTGCTGGACTTACGAACAAACTGGGCTTATGAATGCACTCTCAGAAAGGAGCTTGTCTGTAAGTAGGGGACTTACTGTAGCTGATAAGGGGTTGATAGCTAAAGAATTCATACAACTCAACATCAAACAAAAAACCAATTAAAAAATGGACAGAGGATCTGAGTAGACATTTTTCCAAAGAAAATATGCAGATGGCCAACAGACACATGAAAAGATGCTCAACAGCACTAATCATCGGGGAAATGCAAACCAAAATCGCAATGAAATATCCCCTTTATATCTGTCAGAATGACTATTATCAAAAGACAAGTAACACGTATTGGCAAGGATTGGAAAAAAGAACCCTTGTGCACTGTTGGTAGGAATGTAAATTGGTGTAGCCACTATGGAAAACATTACGGAAATTGCTCAAAAACTTAAAAATAGAACTACCATATGATCCAGTAATTCCACTTCTGGATATTTATCCAAAGAAAATAAAAACAGTAATTAGAAAAGATATATGCAACCCTATGTTCATAGCAGCATCATTTACAATAGCTAAGATATGGGAGCAACCTAAGTTTCCATCCACAGATGAATGGATACACACACACACACACACACACACACACACACACACAGTGGAATATTACTCAGCCATAAAAAGAATGAAACCTTGCCATTTGTGACAACATGGATGGCCTAGAGGGTATTATGCTAAGTGAAATAAGTCAGAGAAAGACAAATTATGATATCACTCACATGTGGAATCTAAAAAACAAAAGAAATGAACAAATATAACAGAGACATAGACACAGAGAACAAACATGTCGTTGCCAAGGGGAGGAGTTGAGGGGGAGATAAGACATAGGTGAGGGAGACTGAGGCACACATTTCTAGTTACAGAATAAGTGAGTCATGGGTATGAAATGTACAGTGTGGGGAAAATAGTAAACAATTAATTATGTAATATCTTTGTATGGGGACAGATGGTAACTAGACTTATCGTGGTGATCAATTTGAAATGTTTAGAAATATTGATTCACTATGTTATACATCAGGAATTAACATAGTTTTGTAGGTCAATTATACTTCAAAAGCAAACAGACTCATGGAAAAAGAGATCAGATTTGTGGTTACTAGAGACACGGGTGTGGGTGGGACATTGGGTGAAGGCAGTCAAAAGGTACAAAACTTCCAGTCATATGATAAATAAGTACTAGAGATGTAATGTACAACATGATAAAGATAATTAACACTGCTGTACTATACATATGAAAGTTGTTAAGAGAGTAATCCTAAGAGTTCTCATCATAAGGAAAAAGTTTTTTCCCCTATTTCTTTAATTTTGTGTTGATATGAGATGATGGATGCTCACTAAACATGATAATCATTTCATGATGTACATAAGTCAAATCACTATGCTAGACACCTAAACTTATACAGTACTGTATGTCATTTATATCTCAATACAACTGGAAAAAAATTAAATTCTAAAAAACTTGCTTGTATTAGTCAATATTGTGTAGGTTAGCATTCTCCAAGTGTGGTCTGGGGACATTTTCCCTGGGTCTATGAGGTCAATTTCAAAATCAATGACTAAATGTTATTTGCTTTTTTCATTCTCAATCTCTCATGAGTGTATTGTGGAGTTTTCCAGAATGTGATACTGCAGCTCTTTGAATGCAGAAGCAGACCCCAAAACCCAGCTTTACTCTGCTTAGCCAGACATTAAAGAGATTTGCAAAATTGAAACAGTGCTACTCTTCTCACAGTTATTTGTTTTAGAAAAAATATTTTTCATTAAGATATTACTATGCTAATGTATAATGGATTCATTTACATATTTTTAAAATTTCTCAGTTTTAATATCTAAAACAGTAAATATCAATATATAGAACCCACATAAACAAAAGTCCATTGAGGTCCTGTTTTAAAATGTAGGCTCTGTTATTACTCGGGTATGGTTAGGTCAATAGATCAGGAGATGACTGTCACTGAAAGGGAAGTCTGTTCCCGAGAGTAGGAGGCCTGCCATGTCACACAGGGCCACACAGGGCCACCGGGGAGTCAGTCAGAAGGCTGAAGGAGCGAGGGGAAAGCATGGGTGAGAGCCTTACTGTGGTTTTCGCAGAAAAAACAGGCAAGGCAGGGTAAGCAGGTTTGAATAATTTCAGCAGGCTCTTAGGTGTAGGGGTTGTCCTAGGGTTTCCTGGATCTGGCCCTGAGGTGACTAGGACAGGTGAGTACAGGCATACCTCGGAGATACTGCTGGTTTGGTTCCAGACTATTGCATTAAAGCAAATGGGGCAATAAGGCAAGCCACACGAATTTTTTGGTTTCCAGTACATATAAACATTATGTTCACACTATGCTGCAGCCTATTAAGTGTGCAATAGCATTATGTCTAAGAAAACAATGCACATACCTTAATTAAAAACTAATGCTGCTGGAAAAACGGCACCAATAGACTTGCTCAACGCAGGTTTGTCACAAGCCTTCAATTTGTAAACAATGCAGTATCTGTGAAGTGCAGTAAAACAACATATCGCTGTATTGGCCCAGAGTATAAGAGCCCTGTGAGAGCTGGAAAAAGGGGGTGCTTATGGGGGCAGAGGGGGTATGGTTTTGGATTGGTTAGCTTGCACATGAGAGGTATATTCACAAGGGAGGAGCTTGTTATCTCTAGGAATTAGCTAGTCCTCAAAGGAGCAGTCTCCCCTGTGCTAGCAAGGTCCCAGGTGCCAGAGCTTTAAGAAGACAGAAAGTAAGGAAACATAGTCAATACAGGTCCTTAATAGTTTTCAAGAGTGTAGAGATGTTCAGAGATGTTCAGAGACCAAAGAGTTTGAGGGCTTCTTGGCTCGGTAATGCACAGTAAAAAAAAAAAAAAAGGTGCCCCAAATCTCAACGTCTTACAGCAAAGAGGGTTGTTCGTTGCTCAGGTGAAGTCTTCACACTTCTGATAGGTGGCATACAGTCATCTCTGGGGATCCTTGGGGGATCTGTTCCAGGACCCCCAAAGGATATCAAACTCTACGGGTGCTCAAGTCCCTTGTATTAAATGGTGTGGTACAGTCGGCCTTCTGTAACCAAGGATATGGAACCCACAGATACAGAGGGCCTCCTATACAAAGAATATCAGAACATTAAAAAAAAAAGTCATAATTTCAGAACAAAAGAAAATCATTTAAATTGAATTACTTTAGCTTAATGAGAAACTCACTATATTATCCTTATTTGCTCAAGTTTTTATCATGAATTAGTGAGATTTCATCACTACTTAGGAAGAGTTCAGGGACTGGTGCTTGGAAATTTCTGAAATCTAGGACAATTGTAGATGGAAGTGACATGAAGGTGAGGAAAGACCTTACCTTGTTTATACGCTGAAAGGACCCAGCAGAGAGGGCGAAGATTGAACATACTGGAAAAAGAGACACCTGAGAGAACTCCTGGAGGAGGTGAACGAGCAAAGGAGGGAGTGGTCTGAAATACGATAGAGAGAGAAACCTCTCTTCCGAAAATTGGTTGGATAGGAGGAGAGGGTGCTCCTGAAGATAAGTTGAGGGAAGGAGAGAAGCTGAGAGAGTCCACCCCTAATGGCACTGATTTTCTCTATGAATCACAGGCAAGTTTACTGCTGAAGGTGAGAAGGGCAGGGGATGTTGAAGGTTTAGGCCTATTGCAGGGATTGGTGAAGGGAGCCCACGGAGCACAAACAACAGGAAATGCAGCAGAACCGAAGGCCCAGCTGAGTTCAGACCTTAAATAGTAAGAGCATGAAACACATGGTAGCCTGCCTTTCCTAACTCAGCTTCTTAGCCCCGGCATTGAACCGAGATGGGGTTGGGGTGAGTGCAGGGAACTGATGTTTACTGAAAGGCTGTGTAGGGTGATGGTTAAGAGCACGGCCTTTGAAGTCAGCTGGCCTGAGTTAAAATCCTGTCACTTTCCTATTCAGTAAAATGGAGCCAATAATAGTCTTGTGGTGCTGTTTTATGTGGGTAACTGGTTTTGTGGAGTTGTTTTGAGGGCTAAATACATGCTGTGGATTTTCTTTCCACATCCTTGCTTCTGGGGCTTAAGGGACCCACCTAGGTTTCAGGGTTTCACGATTACGTGAATATAGGACTCTTGAAAAGGGACTGTTGTGCTGCACCCCACAGGCCTGTGAGCCCAGTATTTGCCCAGCTTGAAGACCGTAGAAGGACCCCAGAATCAGTGACAGAGACGTCAGTGCTGTTAACGGATAGGAGGGTCTTACCTGTGTGAAGCGAGGTCCGGGCGTCACCCCCCGCCACCCGGTGGAGCGGACAGCGGCGTCTTCACTACCTCGGCGAGAGGGAGATTACCAGCTGCAAGGGGAAGTGACGTCAGGTTGGCTCATCGGTTACCAGGGAAACCAGCAGAGGAGCATGCCCCTCCCCACCCCTTTGATGAGCTAGCAAGGTGCGGATGTTCTGATCTAATGAGCAATCACTAGTCAGGGCCCGGGGCGAGTACATAGCCATTTTTTGAGGAGGGAAGGTCGGTCAGGTGAGTAGGATGCAGGTGAGGCAGGGACTGGTCAGTCAGGGGATGCACAGAGAGCAAGGGAACAGCCATCGCGGGGGGCCTGACCATACAGGGACAATGCAGCCCCTCTGCCCCCCCTGCCTGTTTCCTCTGAGGTTCCTCCTCCGCGGTCTTCATGATCCTTTCTGGTTGTGGTGGGAAACAGAAGGCAGGTATACCTGGGTCTCCCCTGTTTTGTTTCCAAAGGGCCTTATCTCTAGGCCCTACTTTCTTCAGGCCTTTAGTTTTATATCTCAGTTACCTGTTTTAGAAGTAAACTACACCCTGCCTCTTATTTGCGTTTCACTCTCATAATCCTAGTCCACCTATTCATCCACTTGCCCTCCACAGAAGTACCTCTGGATCGCAGGGAGAGGTCACATATGTGGAAGAGGCAAAAGATAAAAGCATAAAAATATGTTTTAGAAAATCTCTTCTTACCTACTAACTCTCTTACTTCTCCTGTGGGTAGATGTTTTCATCCCCCTAAAATACCCCGCGCTGGTGCTCAGAGGGACCCGTAGTGTACGTGGGCAGGGTAACTTACACAGCTCGTCACTGTGTAAAAGCTGGTAATAAACAATTCTACGCCTGTGCTCTTCCACCTGGCGCTCTGCGCTGCCTCAAACAGAGGGCTGCACTGGTCCCGTGGGGGCCTGAGGGCTGGAGCATCGGAGGACTGGGGAGAGGGAGTCGCAGGTGCTGGTGAGAGAGTACAGAGCTTAGGCAAGAAGAGAAGGAGGGGCTCTGTGCTCAGAGAAGCGGGGGCTGGCGAACAGGGAGAGAAGGAAGCCGTGGAGGAGCTGGAATCGGCAATGAGGGGATGAGCAAGTTGGGAGGGGAGAGGAGGGACGACTTCTGCAACAATGGGACGTGAAGCTGATGATTTTAAGGGGTTCACTTCCAGATGATGACGAGTAGCCACAGGAATACTGAAGAGAAGCTGAGCACCACTGGGGTGGGGGACACTAAGAAGCATGAGTTTCAGCCGTTTGAGTGAAAGTGGAAAAATAGATCTGTTGTGAGAGTCCTTTACAGATGCTTGAGGAGTGAGCTTGTGGTTGAAAACAGAGTAGGCAGGGGCCAGGGTAGCAGAGGCCCGGAGCTGGTGCAAAGGCAGGAGCCTCCCAGGAAGAGGGGCTGCAGAGGTAGAAAGAACCTTGTTTTTTAATTGTAGCATGTGGGGCTTCCCTGGTGGCGCAGTGGTTGAGAGCCCGCCTGCCGATGCAGGGTACACGGGTTTGTGCCCCGGTCCGGGAAGATCCCACATGCCGCGGAGCGGCTGCGCCCGTGAGCCATGGCCGCTGAGCCTGCGCGTCCGGAGCCTGCGCGTCCGGAGCCTGTGCTCCGCAACGGGAGAGGCCACAACAGTGAGAGGCCCGCGTACCAAAAAAAAAAAAAAAAAAAAAAAAAAATTGTAGCACGTGGCAGTTCTCATACACGACTCTGTATGGTCCTCCCAGCAATTCTGTGAGATGCATACAGGGCAGGAAACAGACTTTCTCCGCAAAAACCTGCTAAGCATCAGCACTGGGACTCAGACCAAGCCTCCTGACTTGACCCACGCTGTCTGTAGTTTCCCACGAGAGTCTTCATCCTCTGCGTACTATTCACAGTAGGAGAGCAACCTCTTAGAGAGAAAACTTATAGACTCTACACAGAAATGAAAGAACTTTTCTTCACCCTAGAGTCTGTGTTAAAAATCTTCAGGCTGTAAATTGTGAGAGAGCTGTTGGACTGTCAGGAATTGGTGCAGGTGAGGTTCTTATGGTGCCATCTAGTGTCCGTGATTGGACTTACAAAACTTTGGCTATAAGTATTCTGAAAACTAATTTATTTAAGGAAATAGCAAGTAACTGATTAATTTTGCAAAAGAATAGACATTAAAACACCTAATATTTTCCTCTCCCTGCCGGGAAGATTTATTAACCTGGCCTCTTGATCACCCTGAGAGCTAGACCAATGCAGTGAATTACTTCATTGCATAACACAGAAATTATGACCTAATGAAGTCCAAGGTTACCTTATTTTCTTTTCACAATACCAGTTGATCCAAGACCTTAAAGATCATGAAGCTTGGTGCTACAAGTGTCTGAGGCATTCAGGTCTTCATTCAGTAGAATGATGTATACAGCAGTGCTTCATAAACTGTAAAATGTTAAGCAAAAGTATTATATAGAGCTATTATTTCACACATACGATTCCATACCCTTGACACACCTCCCTTCTAAGCTTCATATTTATAAGAGTTGCCATCTAGACTTTACATCTGAAGAAGCTGAGGCTCAGATATGTTATATGACTTGCCCAAGGTCATAGAGCTAGTTTTCTCTTTGCTATACTACATTGCCACTATGACACTGATATAAGGAATTAATATGAGTTTATTCAGCAGAAATTTATTAATGCTCACTAGTGCCATCCGTTGGGTTAGGAACAAGGTATATAAAGATTTATGAGTGTTGGGAACTGAATGTTTGTGTCCAACTAAAATTCATAAGTTGAAGCCCTAGCCCCTAATGTGACATATTTGGAGGTAGGGTCTTTGTGGAAGTAAAGTTAAATGAGGTCATAAGGGTAGGGTCCTGATCCAATAGGGTTATGTCCTTAAGGATAGGAAGAGAGACCAGATCCAGATCTTGCTTTCTCTTGGCAGGCATATGTAGCAAGAAGGCAGCTGTCTGCAAGCCAGGAACAGAACCCGACCATGCTGGCACACTGATCTCACTTTCAGCTCCAGAACTGGGAGAAAATTAATTTCTGTTGTTTAAACCACCCAGTGTATGGTATTTTGTTATGGCAGCCCAGCCCAAGCCAACTAAAACAATGAAGATCTACTCCCCCTAAGCTGCTTCCAGCTTTGTTAGGGAAGTCAGCTGTCAGATAAATCACAACCCAACTTGCTGAGATAGATGTATGGACACCTCATATTTCTAAATGATTGCCTTAGAAGGAATCCTGATGAGACTAGTGGTGACAGGCTACCACAGATGTCAGACAGCTCTAAACTCAAATACATTTAAGAGATGACCTTTTACTTAGAGGCACCTTGTCATTAATAAACATGGACTTTCTCTCAGAACCCCGTGTGCCCTCTTTGCGTAGGAGATGGAATGGAGTTGCAGAGCGAGTGACTGAATGTGGCTTTGGCTTCTGGTTCAAGAACAGAACTTGTGGTCCTCAGCTGCTACATCTATAAAATGAGACAGTTTTAACTAGCTGCCATCTGAGGCAGTCATCTGAATATTTTTGCTCACTTTGTCCCTAAAAGAGTTTTGAAAAACTGTGAAACTGTTTCAAAATATTATAAAATTTGAAAGTTGACATCTAAAATTTTCCGTTAGAAATGTAGTTTTAAAGAGTGTAATTTCCATTATACTATAAATATTGACATTTTAAAATAAAATCATCACGACTCTTATGTTTCCAGTACCATCAAAATAACATATTTATTAGAAAGTCACTATCATTCATAAAAAAGACTGCATTTCACATCATTCCTTTTTCTCAATGAAATATTATTTTCATTCCATTCTCCATTCCCAGAATTTTATGTAATGCGGTATATTTTTATGTTTGAAAGTCTTTTAAAATTAAAAATTAAAATTACCTGAAAGTTTTATTATAATTATCAGTAGTTAAAATTTGAAACAATATATTATAAATTTTGATAATAATTACACATAATTAGTAAAATTTTATTGGATACATCTCTCAAAATCTATTGATGAATGTTATTTATTGTTAGAGATAGAATTTAATCTAGTTTCAATTTCTATTTTGGGGTTTTATAGATATAAGCACTCAGAGACACTGTTCTCATAAATAGATGAGAATAGTTTTATTATAGTAAAGTCCTTCAATTATTTCAACTTCTGAATTGCATGCCAAAAGTATCATAGTAATCTCTCATTAAATGTTATTTTAAATCATCAACTTTAGGTTCTCCATCAAATTTGTTGAAAGCAAAGAATTAGAAACCCCCTGAATTACAAAAGGATTGATTATCCAGTCTTTACAGTCAATCTGGGACTACTATAGGACAATCATCTCACTTATAAATACTAATTTTAAGGAAGAGTGCTAAGTAAGGCAGAGAGCAATGAGCAATGAGCATGTCACCTGGATGACCTAAGATGCTACCAATGTTTCTTACCTATACTCTGCTTGGTTCTCTCAACTCTCTCACTCAGGAGCAATGCTTTCTTTGAGTAAAATTATCAACACTCTTATAACCACACTCTACATTATATCTGAATGAACATATTGGGCAAACTGTTCCACTGAATACCAAAATACCCACTCTTAAAGAGAAGAAAAGGAAAGACACAAAGCCTGAATGCAAATTTTTGATGCCTTATATGGGAGACTTCTCCGAAAGCAGAAGTGCTATCCAATAGAAATATAATGTGAGCTATATATGTAATTTAAAATTTGTTTAAAAAGCAAAAAGAATCAGGTGAAATTAAAGTTATATGTAATGCAATATTTCCAAATATAATCATTTCAACATTCAGTCAATATAAAAAGTTAAAAATGAGGTAGTTGTACATTTTTTTTTTTTGGTACTATTCCTTGTAGTATTTTATACAAGCAGCAAATCTTAATTCATACCAGCTACATTTCAGGTGCCCAGTATCCACATGTGACTAGTGACTATTGTATTGGACAACACAGCCCTTGAGATACACACCGTAGTAAGATTTGGGATGGATAAGAGAGCAATCTTTTGTTTTTGTAAAGTAAGAATATGGTGAACGTAAGAGAAGTGGTCAGAAAGGAAAATAGTCCTATCCATGCCCTCGTACAGCTGTGAAAGGTATCTTTCACCCCAGGGCCTACGCTGCACAGCTGTATGAAGTGGCCCTGGTGTACCTCAAGAGATAGAGGTACCCCACTTTGAAGATCATTATTTTAAGATGAATTCTAGCTGCCAGGGTCTTTGGAAAATAATGCAATGATAATGAAATTATGCAGCCTTATCTTCTGGAGAAGACCTAGTCAACTATCCTCTAAAATTCTGGAGCAAGTAAAAAATCATGAGACAATGATTAGCAAAAGATCCAGAAAGCCCTTGTTACTTTGTCAGCAATATCTTGGTATGACTTTTTTAAGGTATGGTTGACAACCTACCTTATTGCAAGCAGAGAGTTTTTGGTAATAGTAGGGTGATGTTTTCCCCTCTGACTTTGATGGAGATAAGATGAGGTTATAGGAAAATCATCAACCTAACATCAGATTACTCTAGGAGGTGAAGATTTCCTATGTTAGGGCACAGAAATGACTAAGAATCTCTTCCTTACCTTTATTTTCTTAGGAAACTTCTACAGTTTGTCCCCCTAGCTCTTTCTAAATTCCAGTGTACAGTATGAATGTTGGGCTTCCTTTCCAAAGGAACCCAGATGCTTGTCCTGAAAGGTAAGTATAAAGAAGTACTCTATGATACTGTCTTAGTTGGCTTGGGCTGCCATGACAAAATACCATAGACTGGGTGGCTTAAACAACAGAAATTTATTTTCTCACAGTTCCAGAGGTTGGGAAGTATAAGATCAAGGTGCTAGCTGATTTGGTTTCTGGTGAGAGCTTTCTTCCTGGCTTTCAGATGGCTGCCTTCTGTGTCCTCCATGGTAGAGAGAGAAGTCTGGTGTCTCTTCTTTTTCTTATAAGGACACCAACCCTGTCAGATTAGGGCCCCACCCATATGACCTCATTTCACCTTCATCACCTCCTCACAGGTCCTATCTCTAAATGTCTTAGTGAATTCAAGCTGCTGTAACAAACTACCATACACTGGATGGCTTAAACAACAGAAATTTATTTCTTACAGTTCTGGAGACTGGAAGTTCAAGAGCAGGGTGCCAGTATGGTTGAGTTCTGGTAAGGAAAGTTTTCTGATTTGTAGACTGCTAACTTCTCCTTATATCTGCACCTGGCAGAGAGCAGAGAGGAAGAGCAAACTTTCTTGTGACTCTTTTTAAAAAAATTAATAAATGTATTTTTGGTATTTATAATTTTTTACTGAAATATAATCAAATTACAATGTTTCAGGTGTACAGCAGTGATTCAGTTATATATATATATATATATATATATATATATATACACACATATATATTCTTTTCCATTATAGGTTACTATAAGATATTGCACATAGTTCCCTGTGCTATACAGTAGGTCCTTGTTGTTTATGTATTCTATATATAGTAGCGTGTATCTTTTTATCCCAAATTCCTAATTTATCCATCCCTCCTGCTTTCCCCTTTGGTAAGTGTAAGTCTGTTCTCTGTGTCTGTGAATCCATATCTGTTTTGTAAATAAGTTCATTTGTATCATTTTTTAGATTCCATATATAAATGATATCATATGATATTTGTCTTTCTCTCTCTGACTTACTTCACCTAGTATGATAATCTCTAGGTCCATCTGTGTTGCTACAAATGGCATTATTTCATTCTTTTTTATGGCTGAGTAGTATTCCACTGTATAAATATACTATCTCTTCTTCATCCATTCATCTGTCATTGGGCATTTAGGTTGCTTCCATGTCTTGGCTATTGTAAATAGTGCTGCTACGAACATTGGGGTGAATGTATTTTTTTGAGTTAGAGTTTTCATCTTTTCCAGATATATGCCCAGGAGTGGGATTGCTGGATCACATGGTAACTCTATTTTTAGTTTTTAAGGAACTTTCATACTGTTCTCCACAGTGGCTGCAGCAATTTACATTCCTACCAACAGTGCACAAGGGTTCCCTTTTGTCCACACCCTCTCCAGCATTTATTATTTGTAGACTTTTTGATGATGGCCATTCTGACTGGTATGAGGTAATACCTCACTGCAGTTTTGATTTGCATTTCTCTAATTATTAGTGATGCTGAGCATCTTTTCACGTGCCTATAAATGTATGCCTTCTTTGGAGAAATGGCCAGCTGTATGTGTTCTTTGGAGAAATGTCTGTTTAGGTCTTCTTCCCATTTTTTAAAATAGATTTATTTATTTTTATTTATTTAGTTTTGGCTGTGTTGGGTCTTCATTGCTGTGTGTGGGCTTTCTCTAGTTGAGGTGAGTGGGGGCTACTCTTCATTGCGGTGCATGTGCTTCTCATTGTGGTGGCTTCTCTTGTTGCAGAGCACGGGCTCTAGGTGTGCAGGCTTCAGTATTTGTGGCACTCAGGCTCAGTAGTTGTGGCTCGCAGGCTCTAGAGTGCAGGTTCAGTAGTTGTGGTACACGGGCTTAGTTGCTCCACAGCATGTGGGATCTTCCTGGACCAGGGCTTGAACCCATGTCCCCTGCACTGGCAGGCTGATTTTTAACCACTGAGTCACCAGGGAAGTCCCTTCTGCCCATTTTTTGATTGGGTTGTTTGTTTTTTGATATTGAGCTGTATGAGCTGTTTGTATATTTTGGAGATCAATTGCTTGTTGGTTGCATTGTTTGCAAATATTTTCTCCCAGTCTGTAGGTTGTCTTTTCATTTTGTTTATGATTTCCTTTGCTGTGAAAAAGCTTTTAAGTTTAATTAGGTCCCATTTGTTTATTTTTGGTTTTGTTTCCATTACTCTAGGAGATAGACCCAAAAAAATATTGCTACGATTTATGTCAAAGAGTGTTATGTGTATATTTTCCTCTAGCAGTTACTGTACTCCAAAAACTATATGATGAAGATGACACAAACAGATGGAAAGATATACCGTGTTCTTGGATTGGAAGAATCAATATTGTTGAAATGACCATACTACCCAAAGTAATCTATAGATTCCATGCAGACCCTATCAAATTACCAATGGTGTGTTTTTGTTTTTCTGTTTTTTGTTTTTTGTTTGTGGTATGCGGGCCCCTCACTGCTGTGGCCTCTCCCATTGCAGAGCACAGGCTCCGGACACGCAGGCTCAGCAGCCATGGCTCACAGGCCCAGCCGCTCTGCGGCATGTGGGATCTTCCTGGACTGGGGCACGAACCCGTGTCCCCTGCATCGGCAGGCAGACTCCCAACCACTGCGCCACCAGGGAAGCCCACCAATGGCGTTTTTCACAGAACTGGAACAAAAAATTTTTAATTGTGTGTGGAAACAGAGAAGAAACTAAATAGCCAAAACGATCTTGAGAAAGAAGAACAGAGCTGGAGGAATCATGTGCCCTGACTTCAGACTATACTACAAAGCTACAGTAATCAAAACAGTATGGTACAAAAAAACAGACACATAAATCAATGGAACAGGATAGAAAGCCCAGAAATAAACCCATGCACTTATGGTCAATTAATCTATGACAACAGAGGCAAGAATATACAATGGAGGAAAAACAGTCTCTTCAATAAGTGGTGCTGGGAAAACTGGACAGCTACATGTAAAAGAATGAAATCAGAACATTTTCTAACACCATATATAAAAATAACTCAAAATGGATTAAAGGCCTAAATGCAAGACCAGATACTCTTGTGACTCTTATAAGGCACTAATCTCATTCATGAGGACTTTACCCTCTTGACCTCATTTGATCCTAATTACCTCCCAATGGTCCCACCTCCTAATACCATCCCATTTGCGTATAGGGTTTTAACACATGAATTTTGGGAAGACACAAATATTCAGCTCATATCACCAAATATAGTTACATTAGGGTTAGGGTTTCAACATATGAATTTGGAGGGGCCATGATTCACTCCATAGCAGATATTAAGGTACTAAGGGGTATGGAATTCCATTTTAGAAGCTCTTCAAATAATTTAAGATAATCAGCTGCCTGAATTATTTGTTTAGGATGAAATTGTTTAGCTGGAGGCAAAAGACTCATTTAATATTTTCCAGAATTCCAAGTCTTTTTATAACATCATCCTCTGTCATCTCCTTATGTATGAAATGGTTTGAATTTCATGATAAAATTTCATTATTACACACTTCTCCCAAGAAAAACTCTTGTGGACAATTTTGGGGGTTTTCAGGTAAACTATTACTAGTGCAAGATATTTTTAAATTATTTCTCCTAATTTTTTCCCTGTAGAGTTATTTCTTCTAGTCTCAGAACTGCAAAAAAATAGTAGTTCCCACCCCCAAAGTCCTATTTAAAAATAATGAGCATTCTACAATCAAGAGACATGCTGAAAAGGGGGGGGGGTCTTTCAAATAAATACACAGGTATTCCTAGAGTAGTTAATTTTTAAGTGAAACTAGTGATACTTCCTGCCAAGCTTGAGTATAGTACATGAACCTGTGAAACTAGAATAAACTAAAAAGTACCTGTGACTACTTTAGAAACTGATGTACGGAATACACTTGTAGTCTATTTTTTATAGCTGTGACAATGGGAAATTCCATAGAGTAAAAATATAGGGTGTTTTAACTTTGCTGTAAAATATGAGTTTTTGGTATTGAAGAGGGAGATATGCATCCAACTTGTACTAAGTTCCTTATAGAGAACTTAAAAAAATCAATCATTCCAACAAACAAATAAAAAGTGTAATGGCTCAGTAGTATTCTTCATGAACAGTAAATAAGGGCTGAAGTATTCAAAGAAAAGGAGCTCAGAATCTTTCATGCATTAACTATTCCAGGGAAGGCCACTGAAGAAGTAATATCAGTTTGAGATGGTTCAAAATCTGTTATCAAGTCTAAGGACTTACACATTATTATGTCACCATTTTACTTTTAGTTATCTAATTTACAAATGTTTGATTTTAAGAGGAAGCTGGAAACTAACTGGAATTGTCTCTAGCAATGTTATTATATAGGCTTGTACTTAGGCTTATAGATTTTTCTGCTATTTTTTATTCATCTTGACATAACAACAGGCTAATTGTAATTATATCACAGTTCATGGGCTTACGTTTCACAACTTCCTCTTAGAAACTCTGATTTAGTTTTTGACTTATTTAGTTTACACCCTTGCTCTCTAATAATTTAGTTCTGTAATGCTGGTTAAAAAATTTTTGGACATTCCCAATATGCACATATACATTAAAAATACACGTGTACCTTTGTGTGTATGTATTATGTATACTATAAAACACATACACAATATCAATTTTAAAGGATTAAAGATGAAATAATTAAATTTTAAATTTAAATCTTTCTATTGAAGTACAAAGTAAGAACATGATTTGACATTCTTCCTTATTTTGGAAAGTCTTGGTTTATCATTTTGTGACATGGTGATTTGAGTTTGAGTTTTTTCTAATATAATAGACTTTGGGGGGGGAATAGTTTTATATTTATAGAAAAATGGATATGATAGTACAGAGCTCCTATATACCCTGTACCCAATTTCTCCTATTACTAACATCTTACATTAGTATGGTATATTTATTACTTAATGAGCCAATTTTGATCCATTATTAACTAAAGTCCATAGTTTATTCATACTTCTTTTGTTTAACCTAATGTCTTCTTCTGTTCCAGGACCCCATCCAGAATACCACATTACATTTAGTTGTCATGTCTCCTTAGGCTCCTCTTGAGTGATAGTTTCTCAGACTTTTCTTCTTTTTGGTGGCCTTGACAGTTTTGAAGAGAACTGGTGAAGTAATTTTTAGGATGCCCCTCTAATGGAGTTTGTAATTTGTCTAGTGTTCCTCTCACTAGACTGGGGTTATGGGTTTGGAATATCAAAGAGGTGTGGTGCCCTTTGCATCCGATCATATCAAGGTTACATACCATCAATATGATTTATCACTGAGCTCAGGTCGCATTGTAACTTGGCCCATGGGTAAGTATTCATTTCTGCTAAGGTCCATCAGCAAGCCAAAACTTGTTTCTCACAAGGAGAATAGTTATTTCACAGGATGGCAGGGCTTTGCTACAAAATCCTAAAGGTTTGCATTGTGATTCAGTTATACGTACTTGCCAAAGACTCCAAATATCATCTCTATCTGCCGCTTCAAGCATCACTGGATCAACTGAATCATATGACCCAAGTGGCAAAGTAAGTTGCACAGCAGCTTGGACTGTTGCAGAGACTTCTCTTCTCTCACTTGGTTTTATGCCTCTTTTTATTTAACAGTAGGAAGGGCCAGATGTAACAACTTATCCTTCACTTAGAAGTGATATCTTGATATACTCAACTCCACTGGACCCCTAGAAATTTCACTGAGGTAGAAGGCCTCTGAATTGGGGTGGATTTATTTTCCATCCTCTGACATGCAAATATCTTACCAATATGTGTACAGTAATTGGTACTTCCTGTCTACCAGGACTAATCAGCATATCATCATCAACGTAATAGACCAGTGTGATGTTCTGTGGAAGGGGAAGGGGATTTAGTCCCTGCAGACTAAATCATGACATAGGGCTGAAGGGTTGATATAACCTGTGGTGGGACAGTGAAGGTGTGCTGCTGACCTTGCCAGTTGATTCCTTCCGGTGGTCTTTTTCAACACATATAAAGGAAAAAGCATTTGCCAGATCAATAGCTGCACACCAGGTACTGGGAAATGTGTTGATTTGCTCAACAATGAAACCACATCTGGAATAGCAGTGCAACAGGGATCATCACATAATCGGATTTACAAAAATCCAGTCATGCTCCAAGATCCATTTGTCTTCTGCACATGCCAAATAGGTGAGTTGAAAAGGGATGTGATGCGTATCACAACCTTTGCAACTTTCAAGTTCTTGATAGTGGTACTAATCTTTGCAATCCCTCCAAAAATGTGGTATTGTTTTCGTTTACATTTTTATAGGTAGCAACAGTTCTAGTGGCTTCCATTTGTCCTTTCCTACAGTAACAGCATTCACTCTACAGGTCAGGGGACCATTGTGGGGATCCTGCCAGCTGCTGAGCATGTCCATTTTTTATGCATTCCGGAACTGGGGAAATAACCACAGGTCGTGTTCAGAGACCCACTGGGCCTAATGCAAGATGAACCTGAGCTAAAATTCCACTGATAATTTGACCTTCACAAGCCCCTACTCTGATAGGTAGATACTACAGTGATATTTTGGGTTTCCATGAACTAGGTCAAAGCCACTGTCTACTAAGCCCCAAAAGTCTGGTTATTTCCTTTCCTCCAATGAACAGTCACTCTTGTTGATGGCTATAGGACCCTGTGGGGAAGGCTGGGGAAAAAATTAACACTATACATTTTTGGCACTGAAGTAGGGTCCTTCCTCAAGAAGATCTGGCCTGCCCTTCAGAGTTCTGGGTATGTAAGTTGGCTCAAGCCTGGGAACTGATTGAGGGGCTGTGACTTTCTGTTTCAGTAACACAAGTTAGGGTTTCTGTTCATAGACCCAGAACTCTTCTGCTAATCTATTTTTTGGCTGCGCTGTGCAGCTTGTGGGATTTTAGCTCCCTAAGGATTAAACCAGGGCCCTCGGCAGTAAGAGCACTGAGTCCTAACCACTGTACCACCAGGGAGTTCCCAGAACTCTTCTGCTTATAAAGACCAAGTAAGAATTTAGTAATTATCCATCTATTTCTTTTCTAGGGACACCATGATCAACTAGCCAATACCACAGGTCTCTGCGAGTCAGACAATTCTGATTACTGCTTTGGCTCAGCTGTCCATTATAGCAACCACACTGGTACCTACCTGCCACCCTGAGATCCCATCATCACCACTGCATTTAAGAATCTCAGTTTGATAACAGGTTCCATTGTAAGATACATCTGAATACAGAGAGGAGCAATTGCAGATCTCTTCAAGGGTGCTGGAACTCACTTCACAAATTACTTCTCATAGTCATGTTGATGGGTAATGTCCTCTGGACCCTCCTGAGGTGGGTGAGAAAGTCTTACATGATAAATCAACTCTAAGATTCCCATCTTCCCAAGACTTTGGAGATCTTCCTCTACAGTAACCTAGGCAGTTCTGGCACTTCAACTTCATTTAGTGTAGGCACTTTTGGGTGGAAGGAAGTCAAGTGATCAATGGTGTTTTCGCTCAGTTTCTTCTCACAGTGGGTCCATTGGGCTCTGAAAGCCATCTTGTGGTTATTTTCTTAGTTCCATGGGTACAATTGGAAGAGACATACTCCGCAAACAATCAAACAAACTTAATCTTTTTCTAACCCTTTGATGTAAAATGTATCTGCTTTGTAGGCTCTTATCAATAAATTCAGCCTAATAGTATTTTACAAGCCTTCATCTTTATCCCTGTATTAGTTTCCTAGGGCTGTTACTGCAAAGTACCACAAACTGAGAGGCTTAAAACAACAGCAATTTATTCTCACAGTTCTTGAGAGTAGATATCTGAACTCAAGTTGTCAGCAGGGCCACGCTTCTCCTGCAGGCTCTTTGGAATAACCTTTGTCTTTTCCTAGCTACCAGCAGCTCCTGTCATTTCTTGGCTTCCAACTACATCACCCCAATCTCTGTCTCCATCTTCACATGTCCTAATTCCTTCTGTGTCTATATATGTCTGCACCCTCTCTTCTTATATAAGGATACCACACATTAGATTTAGGACCCACTCTAATCCAGCAGGACCTCATTTTACCTGATTACATCTTCAAAGAACCTATTTCCAAATAAGGTCACATTGCATTTCCAGTTGGAGAATGAATTTTAGGGGACACTAGCCATCCCACTATAATCCCACACCCTTAACATCCATACAAAATTTGACTGTATATTCTCTTGTGTGCTCTGAATTTTTTTAGCATGTGTATTTTACTTTTTCAAATAAAATTAAAGCAGAAAACTCGCCACACTTCTTTACCATAAAATGCAAGTATTCTTTTCAGCCATTTTCTCCCTTTGATGCCCATTACTACATAGTCTCCCTATATTGGTTTCCTTGTCTTGCCCTTCTCCAACCTTTTCTCTAACTGCAGACAAAATAATCTCCTTCCGATCTTTCAAGGAGGATCAAACACAAAGTTCCTCGTCAGCTGAAGGAGGATTTTCAAGATCTGGTCTCCAGTACCCTTCTTCCAGGTTCATCTTTCAATAAAACCCCATTATGAACCCATTTTACCCCAGAACCCCTTGTAGGTTTCCGAACTGCCCAAGCCATTCCCTTCCTCCATACTTTGGCCCTGCACTCTTTGCCCCTTGCACCTATGACTGCTGCTCATCTTTAGCAGCTACTCTGCTATTCCCTCCCTGGACAGGAAGCATTTTTGTCTTCTCATCTTTGAAGTCTGTTAATATTTTCCCTTTGCTCTTGCTCCTCCTAAATCAAATTTCCTATTGGTTTTTTAAAAAATAGATTTATTTTATTTATTTATTTATTTATTTTTGGCTGCGTTGGGTCTTTGTTGCTGCAGGCTTTCCCTAGTTGTAGTGAGTGGGGGCCACTCTTTGTTGTGGTTTATGGACTTCTCACTGCAGCAGCCTCTGTTATTGTGGAGCATGGTCTCCGGGCTTCGGTAGTTATGGCACGAGGGTTCAGTAGTTGTGGCTTGCAGGCTCTAGAGCGCAGCCTCAGCAGTTGTGGCACGCGGGCTCAGTAGTTGTGGCTTGTGTGCTGTAGAGCGCAGCCTCTGCAGTTGTGGCATGCAGCTCAGTAGTTGTGGCTCGTGGGCTAGCACAGGCTCAGCAGTCGTGGCTCAGCAGTTGTGGCACGTGGGCTCAGTAGTTGTGGCTTGCAGGCTCTAGAGCGCAGGCTCAGTAGTTGTGGCACGTGGGCTCAGTAGTTGTGGCTTGCAGTCTCTTGAGTGTGGGCTCAGTAGTTGTGGCTCGCAGGCTCTAGAGCACAGGCTCAATAGTTGTGGTTTGTGGGCTCTAGAGTGCAGGCTCAGCAGTTGTGGCACATGGCTCAGTAGTTGTGGCACACGGGCTTAGCTGCTCAACGGCATGTGGGATCTTCCCAGACCAGGGCTCTAACCCGTGTCCCCTGCATTGGCAGGTGGATTCCTAACCACTGCGCCACCAGGGAAGCCCCCCAAATTTCCTATTTGAAAGAATGTAGTCCAACAACACACACACACACACACACACACACACACACACACACACACGGTGCTGCGCTGGCTCACCAGTTGGGTAGGACCGTGTCCCCCTTCTCACGGAGGGGATGGCTGTTAACTCAGCTCTGGAGCGACAAGCCCGGCACCACGCCGAAGGCCAGAGCCCGCCGGGCTCCAGGCTCGGGGCTGGGTGGTGACGGCATCGCCCATGGGAGGCCGGGGAAGCAGCACATCACCCACTTGGACCACATTCCTCGCTCTACAGCCGAGGAACCTCTGGCGGAGGGCGAGGCTCCGAAGCCCAGAGCGACACTGTAAGGCGCCCAAACACATTCGTACCCTTCACGCCCCAGGCCGGCCCTCTTCCTCCTCACCGAGGCCGAGTCCCGCCGCCCGTCCAGCGCTTCCTCTCCCTCACGCCCGGGGACTCGACGACAAGGAGCTGCCGCGACTCTTAGGTCAATGACCGCGCGCTGGGAACTCTGGGGCTGGCCGGCGGCGCGCGGGGGTGGAGCAAGCGCAGTAGTGTTTCGCGTGGGCGGTCCTCTCGGGCGGCTCGGCCCGCGCAGGCGCATGCGCAAGCTCCGCGTCGCGGGACTCCCGGCCGTCGCGGGCCGCTCCCCCTCGCCGCGGGTCAGAGGTCGCGGGGCGGGCGGTGGTGACGTGTGCGGAAGCGTTCTGTGAACCGTCGGTAACCGGCGGGCAGCAGAGCTGCAGCGGCGGCCACGGCCTGGCGCCCCGACGGGAGGGGCTCCGGATCGCTGGGAGGCGGCCAAACCCCTGCGGCGCCGCCGCCGCCGGCGGAGGCCCCATGAGTCGGGGGACGATGCTTCAGCCCGGAGCGTGGCCGGGGGAGAGCTGTGCCGAGAAGCCGGCGCGGGAGGCGGGGGCCGCGGCGCTTGAGGGCGAGAAAGCGGTGGCCGGGGGCCAGCCGCGAGTCGCGGTGCGGTGCCCGGCCGAGCAGTGAGTTCGGGGCGCGGGGCGGGGACGGCGGGAGCGGCGTGGGGCCCCGGGCTCGGCACCCACGGGCGGGCGTGGAGTGGGGTGAGGTGGCCGGGGGAGGAGCCGGCGGAGGGCCCTTCGCCCCCTTGTTTTTAAAGTAAGGTCGTCGGTGAAGACACTTTTGTATCCAGTGTGTCCGATGACAAAAGTTTTTCCGGAAGGCGCGTTTTAAAATTCTGGTTATCCAGTACCCTCCCCCGCCTTTTTGACATTTCCATATCTCCAAAGCTAAAGAAAGCTCCAGCAACTTGGGAAACAGACTCCAGAAGCGTATTATCTTATAACCCACTCCATTAGCGCTTCCCCCCAACCTGTCGCGGCAAGGGGCTGAGGTTGTCGCTGTCACAACCCCAGGAAAGCTGAGCCACGCGACCTGCTTGTTCTTGGAAGGCAAGTCTGCGCTTGATGAGCGTCCCACCTGTTGGACAGACTTTGGACGGAGTCTGCCCCAATTCTTTTGCCCGTTAGCTGCTTAACTAGATGTCCCCAACCGCCTTGATTTTTAAATACGAAAGGCAGTGCTGCTTAGATCAATTCCTTATTGAACGGTAAAGGCGGCTGCGTACATCGGAAGAGTTTATAGTTTCTGCAAGGATTTGGGGGCAGGGGTGGAAGCAGAATATAAACTTGAAGGCTGAAACTTTTCTGCACTTTCAAGTTCTAGTCACATATAAATGCTTTTGGAATTCCAAAATTGACGAAAGCACTCAGGTAACCAGTTTGACAGAGATCTTAATTGGCTGGGAAGTGTGCTTTTCCCCCCCATTTCCTAAAAAGGGGTCCTGGGGGAACTGTTATTGCAGATAATGTATTACAATAATTCTCGCTTGCATGGCTCTTTATCGTGGGCTTTGACCTTCTCCTTGAGCACCCAAGCCCCTTGGGATGGTATTATCCACACTTAATGGGTTAAGATTTAGAGCAGGAGGTCTCAAACTCCTGCCCCCAGGAGCTAGGCAGGTGTCACATGGGTTCCTGGAGAGCTGAGTCCTATGGGGACAGGGTCCACTAAGTTCCAGCCTATAGAAGATTCCAGATATTCTGACTTTTGTTTGAAATGTCCTGATTTTTATTTTATTTTTAAATTACATCCAGGTGTTTCACTTTTATTTTTTAAAATTTTTTGTCTGTGCCACACGGCTTGCAGGATCTTAGTTCCCCCGCCAGAGATTGTCACCACTGGACTTCAAGGGAATTCCCCTGATTTTTAAATAGTAGCCTTTTATTTTTTAATTGAAACCACTGTGCAGGCCCATGTGAGCAGATGTGGCTGCAGTTTTGCTCCCTGGGTTTGAGCCCTACCTAAGACTCTGCAGCGGGTGAAGTTCGGGTGCGCATGGGGGTGGTCTTTGCCTCTGCCCCTTCCCAGCCCGTGCTGGTTCCTGCCTGCGGCTTCCAGGCTGACTGCTGCTGCCGCACTTAGGCCCCGGTGGTCTCAGCTGTGCTCCCCACCTAGCGGCCCTGGCCCTCAGATGCTGTTTCTCAGCCTCAGCTGTGTCGTGCCCTCCTGGGAGATGCAGAAACTTTGAAGTCCGAACCACAGTCCCCCAAATACACAGAGTTATTTGGCAAGCTTTTCTGCTGGATGTGGTTCCCAGAGTCTGAGCACCTGGGGAAATGGGTCATGGTGCAAAAGGAACACTCTTCCCTGACGAAAAGGTTTTGTGGCACAGGTGCCTCTTCTCTCTACTGTCAGTAGAATTATGGGCGTGGAGCTGAAGGGAATGTCAACAACCCAGCCTAGGTTTGTCATTTTATCGGTTAGGAAACTGAGTTGCAGATTTGATAGGTGCAGCTTGGCCAGGAAGGCGCAGGGAGTAGGTTTCAGGGCCAGGTTCCCTGATGCCTGGGTGGGGACCTCCCCCCATGTCTTTCTGGCTTTCTCAGCAAAACTAGGTAGAGGGCCATGACATATAATCATGCAGACTTCACTTTTTTTTTTCTGGAATAAATATTCCAATTTGCCGTTTATTTACTAGCTTAATTTCTTTTTCTTCCTATTTTTGTTGTCTTTGATGATCTCATTCTCTTTTAACTCTCATAAGAGAGCAAGGGGGAGCCAGGGAAAGGAGGTGAAGATAACTTCAAATATCAGCTTCTGAACGTCGTATCTTACGTTCTGGGCTTCCTTGTTTATTATACGGGCAGTGGGGCTACTTCTCATTGCACTCTGATATTTTCTTAAGGGCTAGAGAAACTGTACTGCAGCATATAAACATTGCCATTACATAGTTTGCAGTATAATGTGTGCACATCAGTTCTTACATGATGATATATGCAGCCTAATAGTTGAGTGTAGATATAAATAAATTGTGTAATAATGCCTGAACTAGGTCCTAAAATAGTTTTTGAATCTTGTGCTGTTCTGTCATTGGAGCCAAATCCCTTCTTTCCACCCAGAAAGTTAGGTTTGACCTGCACAGGAATTGAGTAAAATATTTGCATCTGGAAATATGAAACACCATAAAATGCAGATGTTTTGAGATACCCTGCAGAGTCATTTTAATTCATTCAGTGGATAGAAATTATGAATACAGATCACAGCCCAACTTTTGTAGCCATTATATTGTACATCCGGGCTGTGACTCTGAGAGGTGCAGTGAAGGGTAGGGGAAGGGATGGCTCATTTCCTACAGGCTGTACTGTAGGACACAAATTCCTTGTGACCAAGCTCACTGTGTTTTGCAAGGGAGAGAAATAGTGGGGAAGAAAGATATAAAAATCATATGGATAAGCTACTTCCTAAATCTCTTTACTTCCTTTCCTTTCTTTCCTTTTTCTTAGTTCGCTTGAGAGCTGTGGTTGGCTGACATCCCTTGGACAGGCCCTAGGGATGGCTCACAAGATGATTCAGTGTCCCTTTTGAGGAAGTATTAGGTCAGACCAGGTTCAGTTGACTTGTTTGGACATTACCTCCCTCCTATCAGCAGGTCTCCTATACTCCATCCCCTGCTCACCTGACCCATACAGTTGAAACTTATGCTATGTCACTTCTTCCTCTTAGCTAAGCTAGTACTACAGTCCTTGAGGACCAGGATGGTCCTGGGACATGGTTGGTGGCCAGGCTAGACATGCTTAGGGAATTGAGAAGTGAGACTACTCTGTGGTCCTTCTCTGTCTGCCTGACGGTGGGACAGGGTTTGAATCTGGGGTCCACAGGCTGGCTGTGTGTAGGGGGGAACATGATGTGTCTGTGTACCCCTCTGAAGTGGAAGGCAAAATCATGAGTGTATTTATGTTTTTCTGGACTGAGGTTCTGAGGAAAGCTGTGGATTCTCAGAAGGGCTGTGAACAACAGACTGTGAAGCCATTGTCCTCGGGTGTTGCTAAATGTGCTATTGTGCGAATGTGTTTTCCCACCCACCTTAGCAGCCCGGGGGAGTGGGGTGGCTGTCTTTGATGGGGTAACAGCGACTCCCTCCTGCCCCTTCCCCCTCCTGGATGTAGAACCTGCTTCAGAGCTGGGATGCATCTGAGAAACCTGCTTGTTGAGGGTGTCTTGGTTGTCCCCAGACTCCTCTGGAAGTCACGTGGAATAGCCCGAGCCAGTCATGGAAAGTCCACTTGCAGATCGGAGGTGGAATTTCAGCCTGGGTGCCGGGACTTTCCCACATTTGATGTGTTGTTCACTCATCTCTACAACCGCTAAGAGGTGGAGAAAGGCTGGGTTGAGTGGTCTTTGCTTTTCCTGTGCCTGTGTGGGATGGTGCGTGGTGTCACAGTGGTTGACACTTTCAGCAACACTGCCTGGGCCATTAGTCTTCTAGGACAGGCCAAGTTAAGCATGAACTGCTGCGTTCAAGTCCAGAGAGCTGAACAGAGTCATACTCAGTTTAGCTTTTTTAGATAACTAAGGGAAGCTTAGTGCAAATGTTCATAACGGTGAGTGATTAAAGTGCTGTCTTGTTAGCTTTGCATATATGTTAGAATTCACTTTTTCATATCATGTGTTTACTTGTATCAGAAATTGAAAAACTGGCTTCACAGAAATGTCTTCTGCTTCACTGAGCCCTGTGTTTTTCGCTTATAGCTTTTGTTTTGGGGAGTAGTGTAATTTTGTCTACATGTAGTAAGCACTTTAAAATTAAGTTTTCAAACATTTATTGTTATCCAGGTCTTTGAAAAGAGCAAGAGGAATAATAATAATTTAGTAGACAATGTCATGTAACCTACTCAATGGTGTATATTGCCTTAATATTGAGAGTAAAATAATTCATCTCTGAGAGAAAATGGGAGCTCGAAAATACTTTAAAGTAACATTATGGTACTAAACTAATAATTTTCTAAGTAGAAATTATTAGCATTTTGGTTTTAAAATTTAACTTGACTGTGTACTTGAGTATGACTCACATGCCAGGGTCCGCAAGAAATCAAGTCAGATTTAAGACTTTTACTTTTCTTTTTTTTCTTTCTTTTTTTTTTTTTTTGCGGTACGCAGGCCTCTCACTGTTGCGGCCTCTCCCGTTGTGGAGCACAGGCTCCGGACGCGCAGGCTCAGCGGCCATGGCTCACGGGCCCAGCCGCTCCGCGGCATGTGGGATCTTCCTGGACCGGGGCACGAACCCGTGTCCCCTGCATCGGCAGGCGGACTTTCAACTACTGCGCCACCAGGGAAGCCCAAGACTCCTACTTTTCTTTACTACTTTTCTAGTGATGGGTATGTTTTCTAGAAGGAAACTTTTTGCTGTGGTGATCATTTGAGCCTGTGGACTTCAGTGGCCTCTTTGTGCTAAATGGTGGACACGCCTCATCCCTACCCCAACTTGACACACACAAAAGATTGCCCAATTTCTGAAACTGGTCAGCATCAAGGATTTTATCTTATCATATATCCCCTTTCCTTGCATTGTTTCACTGTCTTCCCTTCCCATGACAAAAATTTAAACTTCTAGCTATTTCAGATTCCCAACTTTAAATATAATTTCTTTTTGTTGTTATTTTCAGCTTTAATATTTTGATACTTAAAAAAGTTAAAGCAGAAGTTTATTGAGTGAAGTATTTTCTTAAATAAAATTATTTTAATTTTTCTTGCTTTCATATATCTCTCTCACTTTCCAGTTGATGGTCCTTATGTTGGATGAATATTTCATTTTGGCTGTTAAATGTCTTATTTTCTGATCATATTGATTGAGCTTTATTGCTTGAACTTCTAACTTATCTTCTCTCCAAGGAGATAACAGTGGCTTTTAAAAGCCATATTATCGTTTCCCTGGTGGCCTTGGCAAGTTAGCAAATGTCCTTGGCCACATGTCCTTGGTGGCCATGGAAGCTGGCAAACGTTTGTGCAGGGAATCTGAATGAAATCTAGTGTGGCTACAGTAATTTGAATATACCCCAGGCCTCCCATTCCTCAATTTCTGCCTTACTTCTTTTGTATCTCTTGAGTCACTGCATTTCTATTACCAGTAATCTCCCTTTCTGCTCTGTCTTCCTTTTGCATTTAGTCTCCTTTGCGTCCCTTTCCTGTTGGTCTTTGGAGGAATTTGTATTTGTGGCTGTGCAGAGAGATGCTTGTTTAGAGAACCTCCTCTGGGCACTGGTGTTGCCATTGCACTTTGTTTATTTTGTAGATTAGAAAGGAAGGAGACGAGTGCATGTGAATATGCCTGCCCGTAGCCACAGAATTGGCTTGACGTGCGAATAGATTCATAGTCTGTTAGAACTAAGAACTGGAAGAGGAACCATGTAGATCATTTAGGTCTTGTCTGGTCTTCTTGTTTTGAAGATGAGAAAACTGAGGCCAAGATTAGGGAAGTGGCTTCCCCAAAGACATGCTTCTGATAATGATACTGTGAAAATGATTCACTTACATGCCTGTTTTATAGGATCAGAATTTCTCTCCTATTTGATAACGCTAGGAAGGAGGCCAAAGGATAACATTAAACTATTGAAAAAAGACCTTAACACATTTAGTCACTTTTTATTTTAAGCATTTGATGTATAGTCCCTGCGAGTCTGGTTTCTGTTTGCTTTTAACCCTGGCACGGGCTCCATGGGTGACATCACACCTGTTACTTGAAATCTCACTGGGGTTAGAGCACATGGAAAGTACCTTTTCCCTAGTATGTCCCCTCAACCTCACAACGTTAAAAAAGACAGGCACACACGCCCCATCACCTTTACGTGGAGAGAAGAAAAGGAAGAAAGGAATAAGAAATGATCTTACTACTACTCTACACGAATGGATGTAGCATGAAAATTAATAAGGCTAGCTAACGTTTTTGAGTGCTGAGTATTTATGCGTCTGTTTTCACAGCAGTCTCTTGAGGTGAGCGCTCTTACTGTCCTTTTTTTTTTTTTTTTTTTTTTTTTGCGGTACGTGGGCCTCTCACCGTTGTGGCCTCTCCCGTTGCGGAGCACAGGCTCCGGACGTGCAGGCTCAGCGGCCATGGCTCACGGGCCCAGCTGCTCCGCGGCATGTGGGATCCTCCCGGACCGGGGCACGAACCCGTGTCCCCTGTATCGGCAGGCGGACTCTCAACCACTGCGCCACCAGGGGAGCCCTTACTGTCCTTTTTACAGGTGGATACATTTAGGTGGTGAGAAGTGTGGTCACTTGAGTTGCATGGTTATACGTATGGCTAGTGAGGAGTGGTTGAACCCTGGGTGACTCCAGCCATGGCACCCCCAGCGAGGCCACCCACACGGCATGTGCCCTGAGGTGGTAGGTGGTAAGCCATTCGTGCCGGGCCATGGATGGAGCCGATCACAGGTATGAAAGCACAGGCTAGAGTCGGTCAGGTGTTTGGACAGAAGTGTGGGTGTGTGTAGGGCAATCACAGAATACAAGCTAGAGTGGTGGGACGGGTCCAGATTTAGACTTCCTTGCTTATATGGGAGCCATTGAAGGGTTTCAGAGGGGTGGAGGGTATGTTAGTGCCCAGCTCAGTCTCTGTCTCAGCGGCCCTTCTTCTGTCTCTTGTTCCCTCTCACTTGGTCCCCTTTCCTCCGGCTGGGCTGATGCACGCGGAGCTGGGGGGCTGAGGGAATCCAGGGTGTGAGTACGTCTCTCGAGTCGCTCACCCGGTTCCTTAGTAACTCCTCTGTCCTGTGTCCAATGTCCAGGGTGCCTGGAGCCTCCTGTCTTGTGTGAGGAGTGGGGGTGTGCTGTCATGGGGAGGGAGTACTGGGAATTGGGGGTCTGATCTCTCCTGATGTGTACACCAGCCAGTTTCCTTGTGTTCAGCCCTGGGTGTCTCCTATACCATCTGAAGCACTTGGCACCTCCAGTTCCTGAGCCTTACTGGGGCCCTGCAGGGTGTACTGGTCTTCCCTTCCAGCAGGTGCCCCTCCACTAGCCTCGAGGCTTACCCCGTCCTCCGTCCCTTCCTACCCCTTCTTCCACTTTTGGACGGTTTGGGCTTTCACATGTCTTGTGGTTTCAGCAAAGATAGAGTTGGCACTTCTCTTTCCCATCATTGTCACGTTGTGGTGTATCTTGAGGGGAAAACGAGGCATCTTAAAACTCAGAAGTCCCGTTTTTCATCCTTGTCTGGCACCCAGTGGGGTCTTCTCCCTTTCTAGGACGTAGTAGGTTCTTGTTAGCTCACTGAAGGAGCCTAGAGACTCTTTTGGGAGCTGTTGTGCTAAGTCCCAGTGAAAGTATGCGGGGTGCCAGGGATGTGCTCGGCAGAAGGAGGGTGGCTGCTTGCGTGTGGGCCTCAGGGACCAGGAGGGGCCTGAGGGAGGTTTTGTAGCTCTGGAGACTTGTAAATCTCCTATCCTTGTTTTTAGAGTAGCTCTTGTAAAATTTGCTTGTGACATACTAAAGTTGGCACTTGGCCTGCACTCCTGTATACTTTTATTAGCACCATCTCCAGCATGGCATGGCTTCACTGATAAGATGCACGCTAAGATGCTCACATACGTGAGGCATTAAAGACGTTACATTTAAAATGGCCTCAGAGCCATGCAGCCAGTGGAGTGGTGTAGAATGTCTCATTTAAAGTAAAAAACTGAATTGGAATGCTAGAAACATAAGTCTAAGATAAAAGACCCATATTTTATCAGACTGTCATCATGTAATGTGAAAAAGTTAAACTTTGCGTGTCATAAATTTTTTCAGCAGTTGCATGTTGTGATAAGAGGGAACTTGTCAGTGCAACAAATTTTTGAAATGTCTAACTTGGTATGATTTCAGCGAGGAGGACATGTATCGTGCGGCGGATGAAATAGAAAAGGAGAAAGAATTACTTATACATGAAAGAGGGTCATCAGGTATGTTTGGAATTGTTTTCTTTATAGAGTTCCTACTGTTTATAGTAGAAAATGCAGTTACATCGGTATATCCATTTCCATGAAATATTGAGATGTACTTCCTAGGAAACATGCGTGTGCGTGTGGTCTTATCTGTATTGGATTATTCATTTTGCTGAGGTATGTTTGGGGAATACTGTTTCCTGAGGTTTTACAGTTTTAATGCAAATACTTCCCCTGTGTTCTTTACATTCATATGGTTTTTGCACCCCTGAGGCTTTGTTTAATCTCTTGACACCACTCTCTCTCAGTTCTTGACTTGCTGATATTCTTAGAGGGAGAGTTTGGGTTTGAAGGGCATTTTTCATTTCAAGTGGAAGGACTTACTGAGAAGCCTGCTCTCCGGGTCTTTGCGTGCAGAAGGCCACATGAATTTGATTAACTGATAAGGAAGAACGGTCATGGAACTGAGAGCACTAATTCTCCTGTCATTTCATGATCTTGTGTCCATGCTTCTGCTCAGTCGTGCCTGCTCTGCTCGCCCCACCAGGGCCCGTGGACCCACGGCTGCAAGGCTGAGCCTCTGCTGGGGGCACGGCCGGCGGGGCTGTGTGTGGAGAAGTGCCCCCTTCCTTCCCTGCTAGCCTCGTGCGGGAGCCCAGTGGAGATGCTCCGAGTTGGGGGTATGCCACAGATGGTTCACAGGGGGCACTTTCTTGTGCACCACTTGTGTGATGTGTGTGTTCTGGTTGAAGAACTAGCTCCTGTTTGTCGTATGGTTAGCAAAGCATTATACGTGTAATTAGGAACAAAAGATACAAAGTGGGGTCTTCGATGATAATTTTTGAGTCTTCCTCACAAGGAGTTGGTGGAACTCTTCACTGTGGTAGCCAAGGGAGATGTTATGGTCCCCCATAACCTTCAGAGGATGCTCGAATCTTCTGCTGCAGTTGCACACAGTTCACCTCGGATTCAGTCCTTAGCAGTCATATTCCTGAGGAGAAAGTGCTTCTTCAGCCATGGTTTATTCCTGCTGTGTGTGCAGGGGCCCCTTGCTTTCTCGCTCACTCTGCAGGCTCTCTGTTGGAATTCTCCTCTGCCCCCCAGGGAAGGCCTGTGCAGGTGCTCTGGCTTTTCAGGGGACCTTGTCTGAGGCCTTGTCCAGCTTTAGTCTGAGGTCAGAATGGATCCCTTTATACCCTGAATCTCAGTCCTCCTGGGTTCATGGCCCTTCCCGCAGTAACATCCTGTAGAAGTGCCTCTGGTGGGAAGCTCTGTCCGTATAAAAATTTCTTTATTTTACTTTTCTTGAATAACCCCAGATGAATTTTTGTTTTTTCTTATTTTCTTGATGATTTTATTGCATTGTCTTCTGGTTTCTCTTGTAGTTGAAAGTACTGCAGTCAGTCCGATCCTTGGAAATCTGTCTTTCTCTGTCTTCTCTTTGTCTTCAGTGTCCTACAGTTTCTCCTTGAGGTTTCTTAAGTATGGATTTTTTTTTTTCTTTTAAACATTTTGCTTGGGATTTTTTTTTTTTACTTTTTGAATCTGAGGATGGCTAGTTTTCATCAGTTCAGGAGAATTCTCAGCCACTATCTTTCTGAATATTGCCTTTTTCCTATTCTCTCTACTTATTCCTTTCATAGCTCTAATGAGGTGTTTGCTAGCTTTCATTCAGTCATCCAGGTCCCTCTGTCACACACCCTTTCAAATGTTTTCTGACTTTCAGCCTCTGTTGCATTCAGGACAGTTCCTTCGGGAATATTTTCTTTTTCTTTCTTTTTTGGAAAAGTTCTATTTCCCCTCTGAATTTGCTTGGTCTTTTTTTTGATAGTGTATTGCTCTTTGCTCATGTTTTTATTCCTTCCTTTAAGCATTTTGAGCGTACACTTTCAGGCCTGATAATCCCATTATCTGAAAATCCTGGCAGGCCTAATTATGCCAGTTGCTATTTTTCCTTATTTCTTGTTTCTTCAGGGTTTGAATTCTAAGCTCAGCTTTCGTGTGTCTGTGTAGAGTATATGCAGCCTGTCTTGAGTGTGAGAGGATTTGGCCTTGTTTCTGCCAGGCACCCAGGGAGTCACCTGCCTTGGGCCACGTTAGGTTAATTTCTGGGTTTGAGCTTCCAGGGTCTTGCAGCTAGTGTGAAGTCACACCCTGGCCCTGTGTGAGAGCCGGCCCGTGGTTATGAATTCTCAGCGGAGGCTTCCTCTCTCTCCGAGTCAGAGCCCAGGCCAAGGCAGAGAGTTTTTTTATGCTCTCTCTTTGTTAGTGAAAAGCTTTTTTTCACCTTGTCCAGGCAGGGGTCAGCAAACTATAGCTCCCTGGCCAAATTTGACATGGCCCCTGGTTTTGTAAATAAAGTTTTATTGGAACTTCTTGGTTTACACATCACCCATGGTGATTTTCATGCATAGTAAAGTTGAGTAGTTGTGAGAGAAAACTTGACACCCTCAAAGCCTACGTTACTTACTCTCTGGCCCACCAGAGAAGAAGTTTGCGATTCTTGCCCTAGCCTCTCAGTTGAGAGCCCCAGCGTTCTGGAGGGGTTCAGTTTTAACTTCCCATCCTCTGAGAGTCTGAATCCTTGTCTTTGTCACCATATGGTGGTTAAGGAACAAACCTCTTGGTTAATTTGGCTTCTGGTTGCCACTCTGATTTTCAGCTTCCCCCTTTGTGTTTTTTTTGTGCGTTTGTCTTTGTGGGGTTTTTTTGCCACTAGAAATGTTCTTTCCTGGGAACAGTAATCAGTCTGTGTTGGATGCAGTTAAACAACGCAAGGAACTGTTGTGTACTTAAACCGCTCGAGGTCAGGCACTGCCTGTCCTGTGTCTCCGGCTTCTAGCCTGGAGGATGGCATGCGGTGGCTGTTGGAGTCCTCCTCCCAAAGAATGGTGGCAGGATGGGACTGAAAGTATAATTTTGATGCTAGTGCTTTGTGAGTATCCATTTTCCACCCTCAGCTGTGTCCCGCGGACCTCTGATTCAGCACAGGGCTGTGGCTTGCGGCTTGGCCTCTGAGCCCACTGAGCCTTCTGCCTTCTCCCCTCAGTCCTGGGGTGTGGCCTGCCTCCCTGACCAGGGGCCGAGTCCTGTCTCGGTGCACACAGGAAGAGGACTGCAAGTGAGGAGAGTGGCAAGGCTGGACCTTCTTCCCGGGAGGCCCTTCCTGAGCTGGAAGCATGCTCTGCCTCGTGGCAGAACGTGCCCCGCTAAGTGTCCTCAGCTCTGGACATTTGTAGTTCCTCAAGGTTTGTGGGGAGGTGAGTAGGAAGGCGATAAAAGGGAAATCTTCCCTCCACTAGATAAGACACTCAAACAGTGTTTATTGACTTCAGACAATGACTGGTTTGTATTTGAGGGTTGGCTCTGCAGCGGTGGTATTTGTGGTCTCCGTGTATTATGCTCTGGGGTCTGTTTCACCTTTAAGCCAGTCCTGACTTATGCCACAGATAAATGTATCTGTTATCTGTATATGTGTTATTTTCCCTTTTGTATAAAAGGTTTGTTTTCCTTGTGAAAGGATTTACCATGAGATTTTTAAAACAGGCGGTTCTTACATTTTTTGTTTTTCAAAAAAATTGGTTTACCTGAACTGCAAACAGGGATTAGGGGCTCCTCCTGGGCCCCTGCATCAGTCATCCCTCATCTGTCACACCCTGTGTGGTGAGTACCTGTGGTCCTTTCTTCTTCAGTAGTCTCTAAACACATTCAGGACAGAATCTGGGGCTTTAACGTCTTCTTACCCCCCGTTCCTAGCTCAAAGCTTGGCACATACTAGACACGCAGCAAGTGTTTATTGAATTGAGCTGAATATAACATCTTTATTTTGTGTTCAGCTTCCTCCTGAGTAGATATGTTGTAAGGTACTTCTGTGTTTATATCCCGATTTCTTTGCTAACATTTACTTCTTCAGTATTTTAAAAAGGAAGTCAAGAGATGCCTGGGAATTTACCTCTTTCTTCCTAGAACAGACATACGCGTGTGTGTGCATACGCACGTGCCACAAAATCAAATCTCAAACCTCACAGGTTAAACAAGGAAGTTTAAAGGCCATTTTTTTACTATATCGTTTGATCATAAGTTGTATTTTTTAATTTGGGGGGATGTGTTATTAGAGTCAGACGAGGTCTGTGGTTCAGCTGATGTTGAGAGCTCCATTAACTTCTGGCTGATTATCAACAGTTTATAGCCTTTTGGGATCAAGGCGGGATATAACTAAATGGAGACAATTAAATATACTTTTGTAATAGAGGTCTTATCTCTTTGTATAATAGATGTAAAAAACAAATTACAAATCATTAGATGTATCTTCTCAGAGCTTAGACTGCTGCGTATTTAATGTGAACATTATTCATGGGCACCTGGGTCCGTGTGGTTACAGGTGCTGAGGGCACAGCTGAGAAACAAAACAAAGCCCCTGCCCTCAGGGAGCTCATGTTTTGTCGTGTGTGTGTGTGTGTGTGTGTGTGTGTGTGGTGTGTGTGTGGTGTGTGTAGGGGTGGGGAAGGCAGGGTGCAGAAAAAGAAATATGTCAGGTGTTGATCAGTGCTAATAAGAAAAACAAAACCGTGTAAGGGGAATAGAGTGAAGGTGTGTGTGTGTGGCATTTTGATATCGGGCATCAGCGTCAAGAGGTGAGCAGAGACCTTCAGGGAGCGAGGAGCGGGTGCCCCGCAGGTAGGGCAGGAACCGTCAGCGTGGGCAGTGGTGGGAGCTGAGGCCGGAAAGGCAGCGGGCGGCCCGGGCACGAGGCCCTTGTAGGTAGTGAGGGAGTAGAGTCGAGTGTGATGGGAGGCCTTGGAGCCCAGCGGTGGTGGGTAGCATCTGACTTACGTTTTAAATGCACCCCTCTGGCTGCCGTGTGGAGAATGGTTGGTAGGGTGTGGTGACAGGGAGGCCCACTGGGAGCCCTCAGTGGTCACCTAGGAGCGAGGTGCTGGAGGTCTGGACCAGGTGGTAGGCAGCAGTGGAATTCTGGATTTTGGGGGACCGCAGTGAGCGAGAAAGGAAATCTCAGGTAAAGCAGTACCATTATTCTGATGATGCTTTGTTTCATTGTTTCCCCCTCCCCACCCCCCCACCCCCCCTTTTTTTTATTCTTTAACAGAGCCCAGATTAAGTGTAGCTCCTGAAATGGATATCATGGACTATTGCAAAAAAGAATGGAGGGGAAATACGCAAAAAGCAACATGTATGAAAAAGGTATGATGCCTGGATGCACGCATTTTGAGTCTTTCCAATAGTCTATCATAAGTAATTATTTAATATGTCCTTTTGTATTTTTAGATGCTAGTTATGACAACTGCCACTAGACTATGTAATTATTGGTGTTCTAACGTTAGAGATGAGGAAACAGGCTCCAAAGATAAGGGACTTGTTTGGAGTCACAGTATTAACATAGAATCATAATCAGTTATTCAGTAACTTGATTTCTTTGGAAAACACATAAATGGCTCTGTGCTGTTCAGGGTTGGGCCAGCCATTGGTTGTCCTCTTGGGGTCATTTGGGAACACTGCCCTTCTGGCCTGGTGAGGTAAAAGGCGCAGACGTCATGCATCTGCTGTCCCCACTCAGCTTTCTTTCCATGTCCTCCAGTTCTAGGGGCCTGGACTCTCCTGTACCTTCTAAGCAGAGGGATCTGGAACTACTTCTTTTATTTAGGGCAGCAGTCCCCAACCTTTCTGGCACCAGGCACAGGTTTCGTGTAAGACGATTTTTCCACGGTCTCGGGAGGGGGATGGTTTCGGGATGATTCAAGCGCGTTACATCTATTGTGCACTTTATTTCTATGATTATTACATTGTAATACATAATGACATAATTATACAACTCACCGTAATGCTGACAGGAGGCGGAGCTCAGGTGGTAATGCGAGTGGTGGGGAGTGGCTGTAAATACAGATGAAGCTTCAATCGCTCGTCTGGCGCTCACCTCCTGCTGTGCGGCCCGGTTCCTAACAGGCCACAGACCGGTACCGATCCATGGCCCAGGGGTTGGGGACTACTGATTTAGGGCATCCCAGGAGCTGTCCCCCTTTCAGTCCCATTGCATAGATTGGTGACCCTGAGGTAGTCCTTCCAAGGCTGTGGGACATCAGGGATTCCCATGACACGGTCCCACTGTGGCTATGACTGGGTTGGGTCATTACTTGAGTCAGGCCCCTTGACCCACTCCCACTGCACAGCAGGTCGAGTGGCACATCCTACTGGTTCCCCCTCAAATGTATCCTGAATCCAGTGTTCCTTCGTAGATTGAAGTTGCTACTCCAGTTGACACTTGAAAAACACAGGTTTGAGCTGTTTGGGCCCACTTCTATGCAGATTTTTCCAATAAATATGGACTACAGCACTACATGCTGCATGGATGCAGAGGGCCGCCTGTAAAGTTACATGCGGGATTTTGACAGAGTTGGGGGCCAGCGGTCCAACTGCGCCCCACACGCGTACCCCGGCACCCCAGGCTGTTCAAGGCGTGGCCTTATCTGACTTCCTCCGAGCTACGGAAATGGCAGTTTCACCCTAATGCTTCTACCACCTCTTGTAACTTATGGATTATACCCTTTACTTATTTTTCTCTTGGGATTATTTATGTTACAAGTTTGAACGCACTTCTGGCACGTTAGAGATATTGACCTGTCATGTTTGATAGAAATATCTTTAAAATTTTTGTTTGTTTGTTTAGAACTGTACTGTTCAGGATTTAAGATTGTTAAGTATTTGAATATATTTGTTCTTGTCCTCAGAGCTTCATTTTGTAGAAAATGTTGTGCCCCTTTCATCAGGCACCTCAGCTGCCCATGCCTGCCCTGAAATGGGCTGACCATACTCGAATGCCACTGCCACTTTTGAAGCTCTGAGAGCCAGTGTCAGCCCTGTTTCCCACAAGTCTGGACTGTAGACTACTTGTGTCTCAGGCACTCGTTAGAGAGCTTCAGACAATGACACGACGTACCTGGGACTCTCAGTTCCTGCCAGAGCTTAAGAACGTTTAGATTTGTGTGGCCATCTGCTGAATATGCATATTGGCTACTTGTAGATTTTGTAAAAACCTCCAGCTCTGTATCAAAGTAGATAACCAGAGGCCAGGTATCTAAACTGTATTTTCTCATCTTCCCCAGAAATGCTTACACTGACATGCAACCTTATTTTTGGATCTCAGTCTCTTTAAAGGATCTCTTCTAACAGTTGGCACCTTCAAGCCTGTAATTGAAGATGTTTACTAAGTTATCCAAGTGTTCCATATTTTGGAACTCATGCTGAAGTCATTCCTCTTTGATTTCAGTTTGAGGTAAAGATATGACCCTATAGTTGGACCCTTCGGTGACCAAATAATCAAAGGCACATTAGTTAGAAAAGCATCCCATCGGGACCCGTGGCCGTCAGAGCATTTCTGGGCCTGATAACAGCTTGGATCTCTGTTATCTTTTAGTCCTTATTTGTCTGATTGTTTTGTTTTGGGTATTCATTTACACACTTGGAAAGATACAGTTGCTGTTGAACTAGCCATCGTGAGTATTTGGGGTAACTAGAGGTTCGCCATAGGGAAGAGGTGCATATTAGCAGGCATGAGTCTGCTTGACGGGCCCTTACATTGCAGTGGTTGGGCCACTGAATAAAAATGCAACTCTCAAAATTTTATTATTGGAAAGACGTACTTTCATATCCACTTAGAACATCATCCTGTGACTTGAACCTTGAAAACAACTAATAACAGGGTCCAGTGCCTGGACACAGGATGACTGTCTACATGGTGCCCACCCCATGAGGGCGACACTTCTTCTTTTGTGTAAATGTGGGTAGGAAGCAGGGTTTCGAGTGATTGTTGCGGAAGAGCAGGACTAGCGAAAGGTCTGCCAGGTCGGGGGCGAAGCCGTGCGGTGGGGAAGCTGTGAAGCCGACGCCGACGCCTGAGCAGCGTCCAGCGGGGAATCAGTCATCTGGGCCCCTGGACCAGGTCGCTGGGATTTTATGCTGTCCTTTTTGGGGGGCATGCTCCAAATGGTCCGTTTGGATGGCTGTATTTGAGTTGACTGAGCATGTCACTGAGCATTTTCATTTCCTTGTTTCACTTGCAGGCTAAACAAGAATGACACTTAAATCCACTTTTTGAAAAAGTCTAACAGAATTTATCCAGGCACCTCCTAGCATGTAGTTTTTTTATGTATTTCACGGAAATTTGGGATTTGGGGGTATTATTTTTAATGTGGAGATACGAGCTGGGTACATCTCTCTTTTCTTTTCTGTCTCTTCATTAAAGAGTTTAGGGTCAATCTAAACACAGATTAAAGCCTTCAGAATGTTGGTTATTAATAAGTGAATGTTACAACGGTTGCTAAGGGGCATATAACTTCAACTTTGGGGGTGACTAGTGTTTTAATAATACTTGGTGTATTATTTTATATGTTCTAGTATGTTGCGTCTGCTACCTATGCTGATACTATGTACAGTACTAACATTTGTTAATTTCCTTTGATTAATTAAAAAAAGAATTCAAATATCTTACATGAAAGACTCAGCCAGTCTTGTTTCCGTTCTTCTAGTGATTGGGGGCACACTTTTTCCACAGGAATAAAATTCTCCCCACTCTCTGAAGTCAGTAATGACCATTTTGAATTCTCTGATGCTTTTGTCCAGGGCTACGAGGAGGTGTCTCAGAAATTCACCTCCATCAGGCGAGTCCGTGGAGATAATTACTGTGCGCTGAGGGCCACGCTCTTCCAGGCCATGAGCCAGCCAGCCGCGCTGCCCTCCTGGCTGCAGGACCCGGAGCTCACGCTGGTACGCTGCTGCTGCAGGTTTGAGTCTGCAATGTTTCCAGTTGCTTTTGTGAGAAAGACTTCCCCTTCTCTGCCCTGTGCTACGTGCTTGTACTGTCTGCGGTGTGACGTCAGTGTGTGGGTTTATTCAGTTTTGTGTGGCTGAGATGATTTTGCATAGCAAAGTGACTAAAAATGATTGATATTTCCCCAGAAGAGGAAGGTGATAAAATTTCTTCAGTGCTTCAGCTTAACTAGAGAGCAGGTGTTTAGGGTTTGTTCAAAGCACTTAGGGCAGTTTGACTTCAGTGTTGGAGTCTCTACCAAGTGGGCTGTATATTGTACTATCTGAGAACCTGCTGGGGTTTTAGGAGGCAGATTTCTGTGATTCTAGCTCCAATTCAAGGAATCAGCACCCTCTGCAGAGTGATAGGAAAGCTGGCATGGCAGGCGGCAGAGCAGCAACCCTAGAAGAGAGACGGTTGCTGTCAGCCTGGGGGAGGCTCCCTGGGGAGGTGAGGGTCAGGGGCTGTGTCCCAGGCCTGGCCCTCTTCAAGGTTTTAAATCTGCAGCCTGGTCGTGACACCCCAAGAAGTCACATCATCAGTGTGTCGTGGATACACGACACACATCAGCTTGAGGTCATGATAGGTTGGATGATAGAATACCCCAAAAGAGTTTGGTGGGCAGGCACGATTGAGCAGAAGTCAGAATATGACATTACTTGGAAGAAAATAGGAAACCTTGCACCTGTATTAAAAGAGAACCCCAAACCGAAACTCAGAGTGCTAGCTGTGGGAGATCTGCCTTACCAGCAACTTATGAGGGGGGAAGGAAGAGTCAGGATTTTAATGGATTGCAGGCCCAGTACGAGCCCACTGATGTGTGATGCCTGCAGTGATAAGGAAGCCCTGTCTTAAAAGGAGCGCTTCTAAAACACAGGCAGTGACAGCCCTGTCTTGAACAGGGCTGGTCACATCCCATCTTGAGGACCCAGTTCAGCTCTGTGCCTGTACCCTCAGTACAGGTGGGAGTGTGCCCAACAGGGCTCATCTGCTTTGGGGAACAGTTGAAGGAGCTGGGGTATTTGCCTAGAATAAAGACTTTTAGAGGATACTGGTTGGCAGTTAAGCTAATTAGAGGTCTGTTGGGTGAACGGGGTATCACATACCCTCAAAGAGCAAAACCAGGATCAGTGGGTGGAGGATACCACCTGTCTCTCAGGTGATTATCTACTTTATAAACGGGTGTAAGATCACGTGTGTATAAGCTATTTAAATGATATCTGTGAAAGATACTTCTAATCAAAGATACATTATCTTTTTTTAATATAAATTTATTTTGTTTATTTTTGGCGGCATTGGGTCTTCGTTGCTACGCGTGGGCTTTCTCTAGTTGTGGCGAGCGGGGGCTACTCTTCGCTGTGGTGCGTGGGCTTCTCATTGTGGTGGCTTCTCTTGAAGAAGCACGGGCTAGAGCACGGGCTCTAGGCGCATGGGCTTCAGGAGTTGTGGCTCACGGGCTCAGTAGGTGTGGCGCACAGGCTTAGGTGCTCTGCGGCACGTGGGATCTTCCCAGACCAGGGCTTGAACCCGTGTCCCCTTCATTGGCAGGCAGATTCTTAACCACTGCGCCACCAGGGAAGTCCCAAAGATATGTCATCTTAAGCAGATTTCTCAGTATTAGCTTTTTTTTTTTTTTGAGAAATGAGCAAAAGAAATTGATGCACTAGGCTATTTTTAGCTTTGCAAATTAGACATATCAGTACTGAAATATTTCAGAATTGTTGGTCAGTCAAAAGCATGCCTGTGGACATGAGACACTGCTTGGGAAGCAGACATGGGTGATGTCACTGTATTTTGCTTTAACTTTTGTTTGACAGCCATAGCTTTATTTATTGATTGTGACAAAATCCTCCTCGATTTTAGGCTGCTTTCCTTTGAGCCTTTTACTTTAAGGGGCTGCTTAGATTTATGGACTTAATTGATGTAATGAATTTGAAGTTTTAACTTTCCAAGGAACTCTGGTGCAAGCAGTGCTCTACATAATTAAACATACAAAATACGCTCCATGAAAGTAAAGCATAATTTTTATTTTACTAACAGGATACATTTGGGTAAGGTTATCTGCCAAATTAAAAATAGTCTAGGTAGGTTGTGCTTGGTTTCTGATCGGTATGAGAGCACGTTGCGCGTATGAGCAATGGGGGCTTTAAGGTGGTTTTCCTGACTTCATTTGAGTCATGCGGAAATTCTCAAGTACTCTTTCTAATTTCTTCCCTTTTCTGTATGTATCAGTCAACAAGTAGAGTTTTTCTCTTGGGAGCATAATTAGTTGGTCACAGTGGTATTATTTTTGTCATCTAACCTTTCTCGAATGCCAAGAGGCCCACGTCAGAGAGAAAAAGCACATCATACCTGTCCGTGAGTTTAGTATGAAGGTTTATTAAACTTTTCTTGCTCTCATCCAACTAGAAGACTTGCCCCTGTGTTGACTCCTCAGCCGCCAGCAGATTCCCTCGCTTTGAGCACTTTCCTGACAGGGTCTGTTTTGCTGTGTGTCTTGGGCGGGTGACAGATGCACCACACGCTTCTCATTTGAAGCGTCAGTGCAGGAAGGGGTACGCAGACTTGGTTGTCGTACTTGACCAGACTAGTTTTTAACCACCTCCCAGGTGTCTCAGGCAGCCTCCTGTGGATGGCATTCCACCCCTGTTCTCATGCTGGCCCTTCCGCCTCGTCTCCTGTCGGAAGGTCCACACTGACAGGGGTCTCGTTGGGTGAGCGAGAGGGCGGTGCAGCGTGACTGGAAGAAGTCGGGGTGGAACCAAGTACGAATACCGCCAGGTGGTGAGGCCTGCAGAAGCCGGCGGTGCACCGTGGTGGTGGGGTACCCGGACCGCCTCGCCCCGCAAGTGGGGCCTCTCCGTTACCAGAGACTACTTGTGTAACTGTAATAGGGAGGCGTCTTAATATTTGTTAACGCTCGTGATTAAGACAAGCAGATCAGGTGATACTTAACTCAATTCTACAGAACAAGAAGGTCTTACAGGAGTTTTGGTATGAAAGTCTCTGTGCCCATTTCCTACCCATCTTCCTACTAAATCAGAATAACTTGTATCCTGTCATGTTAATTAGGCCATGCTTGCTGTTACAGCTTGGTATAAATTATGGGGTTTAAAATGGGGTAGGCTCGCTGTTATAAACACAATAACTATCTGACAAATAAGTCTGTCTCAGTTTACCCTGATCCTTGATCTTTCTGAATCGCCAAGGGCCTCTTCTGACCACTACCCTGCATCCAGTGACAGTCATATGTCCTGGTGTCCACGGGGCTTTTAGAAGTCCTTGGAGCACTGACCACTTCTGGGGACATAAAAAGGCTGCTCTCAGCAGGCAGGTTGGAGGGAACCAGTTTCAGCATTGTTAGGGTCTCCTGAACTGCCCAGGCTCTGTAGTAGCCCACCTCTTCACACTGGGCATCGGGCAGGTCCTGGGACACCTGAGTTTGTATGTGAGTCTGTAGACTCAGAACCAGTCCTGGCCCAGCCTGCAGGCTGCATGCTGTGCTAAACATCCCTTGACCTCAGCTTGCACTTCGTCAAGAATCCGGTGAGCCCAGAGAAGCTACACACCCTGTAGCTGGCTGTATCTGCTTCCATTTACATTTGGAGAGATGTTCTTTGTAGCATTTTGCCATTTTCCCTCTCTCCTAGAACATGCATGGTTTCAGGAGATTCAAGGGAAGTAGGAGCGCTAGACCGAGACCCTCCCCTTAATGTGAGCTCAGTGGAGGCGAGCGAGCCCAGGCTGCTCGTCCCGTGCTGCTCGGCTCCTCTGGCCTTGCTCGTTCGTGGCCTGTCTGACAGTTCGGCTGCCTCTCATCTCCTGTCATCATGTCTTGGCTCCCTGTCTGTCGTTCTCGCTTCTGTCCAGATCCTAGTCTCTGTGTTTGACTGCAGTCGGATGATCTGACCGTGACCCTGACCTTGGACGTGGCTTGGTCTGGCTGTTCTTAAACTTGGGCAGCAGCTGGGTCCCCAAGAGGTGGTATCCTTCGGGTCAGGGGTCCTTTGGTTCCATAGTTTTAGAATGTCTCTGAGTGGGTGGGACCTGTGACAGTGTTTGCTTGCTTAGGGTGGGATAGACTGTATATCAGAACTCATGAGACAGTTTGGGGGTGACACATTCTTGTTACTTGCTATCCCTTTAACCATGGTGCTGATTTCGAGAATTGTGGACATTTGCTAGAGAAAACAGGCTGTTTTTATATTTCAGTCACAAATGAAATTATACCTAAGCTAATTAGGCAGTTTAATACTTTATTAAGTATTTCCCGTCATTGTTTCTTGTTTTTCATTGTTTCTTCTTTACGTCTCCCTTACCCTAACAGAAGTCCAGTCTCCGTGTGTGTAGTGTAAAAGAATGGCTGTGTGTGTGTGTTGTATGTGTCATGACCCCCTGAAAGCATTTAAAGCTATCCTCATTTTTTTCATCTGAGTAAAGAATTTCAGCTCCATTATTCTTTCCTCATAGTTTCTTTTCACACCTCAGTTTGGGGCTTTCTCCAGGCTCCCCACAGCTCCCAGCATATACAGCCCTTGATAATTATTCCAGCAATACTTTGGCCCATGCGTGGAAGGAATGAGGAAACGGACTTTTTTTTGGGTTTTGCTCGGTGTAGTTAGATCGTTGGGGTCTCTTGAGTAATTGAGCATCGTGCCTGCTTTTTAGGTACATACACAACATCACGTGATGCTTATGTTTTCTGGGCTTCCTTCCACGCCGTTTCCCAGCTCACATCTGTGTAGCCAGTATTTTCTGCTCACTGCACTTCTCTGTGCCCAGTTGTGATTTCAGCTTATTGCCACTTGAGGGCATTTTAGAGTCTGGTGATAAACCAGAGAACCTGAGAGAAAGTTGGCAGCAGAACTGCCCACATGTTGCTGAAATGTAGGACAGTGTGGGCACAGAGCTGGGCTGCTCTTGGGTGGGTGGTCATTTGTCATCGTAAGAAGATGAGAACACAGCCCCTCCCCCATTAATGCCATCATTGTGATAACCACCTGAAGAGGAATTTACGTCCCTGTTGTGGTTTTGTTTTTTTGTAGAGATGAAACCACTGTAGTTTCACATGACTGCTGTAAAGGGAAGGTAAAACTGGAGTTCCCGTTCATGCAAGGGTCTTCAGAGCCTTAGATTCCAGGAGAACTGAACACATGGCCTCATTTAAAACTGTATTACAACTGTTAAACAAACTCAGGTTCTAGGGAGGAATTAATTATTCTCTAATGATCTTTTGACTTGGAGGTGAACTCTTTTTTCCTTTCTGCATTTTATAGCACTGAAGGGACATGCCTGTGCCCGGCCTAATTATATGGATTTCTCCAAGACTGTTGGGAAAGTCTGAGTTCCCATGCTGACGTCGATCCGGTTATGTCCCAGCTTGCTTTTCAGACTCCAAATTCTATTGATGATGAGGGGAAAACAAAATAGCAAACGCTCCAGGAAAAAAAAGGAAACAGGCAAAATAATAGTTGAGCTGTCAGTTCTCTAATGAGCTAGCCCATCACAACTCCCTTAACCCCTGCATCTTGTTCTCAGTTGTATTTTCTATCTTACTACACTGATTAGTTAAACTAGATACCATAGTGTTTCTTTCTAATATTAAAACTTTGATGGTAGTGTAAGTATCAGAAGTTAGGTTTTATTTTCCTAGTCAGGAAAGGAACAGGTTTTTACCCTATCCTGGACCATCTCACAGGCCCAAAGCACCTTCCTGAGTCAGGCATTAGGGAGTGGTAGGGAGGCACCAGTGAGCCCCGCAGCTGCTTGGGTGGTTTATGCGAAGACCTGGTGTGAACACTGCCTTCATGTACCCTTACAAAGTGCTGTGGAATGTTCCTGCCCGCGGCTGGAACCCAGCCAGGTACATTGTGCCTTTGGGTTTCAACCAAAACTGCCATTTCACTGTAGAAGCCCTCCTCAGGGTGGGTCTTTCCGAGATCCTGACTTCCAGATTTAGGTCCGCCGTCCTAAACCCAGACAGATGTGCAGGAATTAATTCTGGAAACGAAGGTAGGTCTTGTAGGCTTCATTGTTTCTCATAGCTTGGATCGTGTGATGGCCTTTCTGGAATGTTAACATTTTCTCTCTCTGTTTCTTGATACTCTAGTTACCAGAAAAACTCATAAGCAAATACAGCTGGATCAAGCAGTGGAAGCTTGGACTGAAGTTTGAGGGGAAGAGCGAGGCCCTGGTTGATAAAATTAAGGAGTCCCTCACTTTACTGAGGAAGAAGGTTTGGAACATGTAGTTTCCTTTCTGTGATAAGTGCAAAGCTCTCACTCCCGGGTGCCCCAGCACACCACTTCTTGGTCTTCACTTAGTGGATTACCACACGCTCTTGGCTGGTTTTTAGGCAAAATAATTCTAAACGAACACAAACACTTCCTATGAAGTGTTCGGTAAAATGAAGAAATATCAACATCGTGTATTCTCGGAGGAGATGATGTGTTTAATGAAACGTTTAACTTTGTTTAAAGGAAACCGTACAAATGTAGTCTTTTCTTCAGTTCTGACAAGTTTCAGGGATATCATTTAGTCCATATCTCTTACAGGATTATCAGTGATAATGAATTCACATTTATTAAATTCTTCCCAATTATGTTCATGTTTTAAGATTCTGTCCATATTTATTAGACTTGTTTTCTTTCACGATGATTTTCCAGTGGAGCAGATTTAGTAACTTGTCCTTTGACAACTGTCCTGAGGGTTTTTCTGAAGCAGAATTGTGAGGAGGAACTTGGTCTGCTGATTCCCAGTGATTTGGTTATTAAATGCTCCCTCTTCTGTGGCTTTCCGCTGCCTTATGTGGGTCGATATCCTGCTTGCACACTGGCCCCACACAGAACTCTAGGTTGCTGGCCTTTGAGCAGCCTAACAGCTCTCCTCACCAGGGACCCGGGATTGAGGGCCTGTTAGTTGCTCCAGGCTTTGTAGATGGAGGAGGGAGGCCGGTAAGGAGGTGTCAGGCATCGGCTTTCGGGATTCCCCCAGCACATACCCTGGTTGTTGATCTGTTCACTTGACTGTGGTCTGCCCCCATGAGACTTTCAGCTTCACCAGAGACTGTCCTGTCGATTCCTTTACAGCCAGTGCCGGGTGCTGAGCCTGGCACATAATAGGCATTTGGTCAATATTTTGTTGAATGAGTGGAGGGCCCTGAGTTCCTGGAGCCTAGTTTTTATTTACAAACATGAGAAATGTGTACTGGAAACTATACTGTCGAAGGAAGACCAGTGATGAAGAAATGGGAGCAAGAGAAGGGGAGAGGGGGTCTGTTCTTGCTGCCTGTTGGAGCAGAGCACAGGATTCAAGGGGGCTGGGGGACCTGCGCCTGCCCAGGCCCTGGGTTAGCAGGGGGTTGAGCATAAGGCTCTGGCCCTGTGGGAGTGAACAGGAAGGCTCTTCAGCTCAGCCACTGGTGACAGCTTCCTTTTTAACTCTTTTAAGTTCTTGTGAGGTTGCTTTATTAGCTGTGCCTACTGTAACTAGATCCTCATTTGGGGGAATGTTTAAGTGATTCCAGTTTGTAATAACATTAAAATTATACATTAACACTCTGAGCCAAAAAAAAAATAAAAATAAAAAGCCTCTGAGCCGGCATCGTTAGCACTTTGTATGTGCCAGGCTGCACACTAAAAGTTTGATACATTGTTTAATCCTCACGACTACCCGGGTATCGTTGCTGTGGTATCCTCACTTTGCAGATGAGGAGACGGAGGCCCTGCAGAAGCCACCAGCTGCTCGGTGGCAAGGCCTGTATTCCACCCTGACTCTCTGACCCCAGAGCTGCGTTCTTGCCTGCCAGCTTGGTCCCCTTCTGGAAAATATGAGGTGTTCCAGCTTGCAACCCAAATATTGGAGCGAGTCCGGTGGCACAGTCATTACTATTAACACTTACTCTTGTATTTAAAATGTTAATGGTTTTGGGGAGGAGCAGTAGTTACTGGTTATTCATAAGGATTAGTTTTATGTTGGCACCTCCTATCCTCGTTCACTTTAACTTAAAAGCACATATGTTTATAGGGTTTTCTTTTTCACTTAAAGAGTTTGCTTATGTTAGCTGAATACTTGATCCTCTGCTTTACTCTGAATCAGAAGTCGGTAAGAATTTCCGGAGTGGATTTATTCATTTGAAACTCAAGTGTATATTTAAGAGGTTAGAAGAATAAGTTTAGTAAACAGATACTCAGGATACCCCGCAGTCTTCCTGGTGCATCTCCATGTTTGAGGGTTGGCTTGGTGTTGGTGGGTGGTAACGGCTGCCGTAAACCCCTTAAGGGGAGGAGTAGTTTCAGCTTCGCTTCACAGCGTCTCACACGGGCCTCACACACGCATGTTAGCTCTCCTGTAAGTATTTCTGATTGACCGGTTTGATCTCTGCCTGGGAAGGTAGGGGAGTTGAAATTTCCATTCCATGGCCCTAGAGTTCTCCGTAGTACATTATACTTTTGTTTCAAGTTAGTGGGGGAAGAAGTGAGTAAGGAATTTGTGAGGTCTGAAGAGTGCCATTGTTCGAGCTGGAAGCTTGAGCACTGAGCCTTGGTACGTGACCCATGGTTGCCTGCCTATCTTGAAAATAATTTTGTGCTCATCGTGTGGAATTTTACCAGGGACTTTTAGAGCAACAATTTAATTATTATGTAACTTTCTTATTACAGTGGACAGACTTGGCTGAACTGAGAACTGCCGAAGCGAGGCAGGTAGCTTGTGATGAACTGTTCACGAATGAAGAAGAGGAGTACAGCCTCTATGAAGCTGTGAAATTTCTCATGCTAAACAGAGCCATCGAACTATATGATGATAAAGAGAAGGGAAGGGAAGTGCCGTTCTTCTCTGTGCTTCTGTTTGCTCGGGACACGTCAGGTGACCCCGGACAGCTGCTGAGGAACCATCTGAACCAGGTGGGGCACGCCGGTGGCCTTGAACAGGTGAGCTGTACCTTTGGGAGTATATTGGCCCAAACAGCAGCTTCAGCCGCCAAACCTCATCCCAGTTTTTGTGAGCCAGGAGTCGAGGGTCTCGGGAGGCTGCAGTTGGATCTTGTTCAGGGCTGCAGTCATCTGAGGGCGTGATTGGGGCTGGAGGGGCCACTTCCAGTATGGCATGCTCACCTGGCTGTTGGCAGGAGGCCTCAGTCCCTTCGCTGGGAGGTGGTGGGAGGGTTCTGTTCCTCACCATGTGGGGCTTTCCATAGGGCTGCTTGGGTGTCCTTGTGACATGGCGGCTGGCTTCCCTCAGAAAGGGATCCAAGAAGAGAGCAAGGAGGAAGCTCCAGTGCCTTCTATGATCTAGTCTTGCGAGTCACGCACGGTCAATTACACTCTATTCTGTTTGTTAGAAGCAAGTCACTTAATCCTTCCCACATTCAAGTGAGGAGTGCCAAAGAATTGTGAACGTATTTTATAACCGCCGTGGTTATCTCAGCCTGGGCTTGCTTCTGTAGTGTGGTGGATGGGATCAGTACCCTTGGCTCCAGTAAACAAATAGACCAAGCTCTTGGAAGAGTCCTCTGAAGGGTCTTGTTGTTTTTTTTTTTTTTTTTAATTGAGGTGAAGTTCATATAACACAAAATTAACCATTTTAAAGTGTACAACTCAGTCACTTTCGGTACATCTGCGGTGTTGTGTGACCATCACCTGTGTCAAGTTCCAAAACTTTCCTTCCCCTGAGAGAAAACCTGGTGCCCGTTAAGCAGTCACCCCCAGTGATTATCTGTTTGATTGTAGCCATTCGAGTGGGTGGGAAGTGGTTTCTCATTGTGGGTTCGGTTTGCATTTCCCTGATGACTTTTCATGTACTTACTGGTATTTGCATATCTTCTTTGGAGAAATACCTGTTCAAGTCTTTTGCCCAATTTTTAAACTGGTTATTTGCTTTTTTACTGTCGAGTTGTAAGGTGTTCTTTGCATATTCTCTACACGAGTCCCTGATCAGACATAGGATCTCTTCTTGATGATGTGCTTGTTTATAACGACCCATATATACAAAAGGACTGGGGCTGGGCCCACGGGGAGGAAGAATGGTTGTGGCTGAGCCATGCCATGCACCTCGGGGACACCAGGAGTGGGTGGAGTGGGTGGAGAGCCCTATCCTTCACCGTGGCTTCCCGCCACATCCTTCAGTGTTTGCTCTTCCCCCAGGTTGAAATGTTCCTTCTCGCCTACGCTGTGCGCCACACCATTCAGGTGTACCGGCTCTCCAAGTACAGCACTGAAGAGTTCATCACCGTCTATCCCACCGACCCCCCCAGGGACTGGCCGGTGGTGACGCTGATCGCCGAAGATGACCGGCACTACAACATCCCCGTCAGAGTGTGTGAGGAGACGAGTCTGTGAGACACTCCTGGACAGCCTGGTGACGCGGCTCGGTCCTTGGGACTGCAGGTCCCTTGGAGTGACCTCTGAGGACTCTTGGGCCTTGTGAGCCAAGCTGGACTGGAATGTTCTGAAGACTAGCTTTTGATAATCAGAATTAATCAAGTTTTTTCCCTCACCTATGATGCACTATGTTTCACTGGGGGCCTTCAGAGCACACCTGTTGAAAGGTGCAGACTACATCTCCATAAAACAAACACATTTGTATCAGAGGAGACTTATTTTGGAGAGGAATATGTTCAGAGCTCTCTCTAATAGTAAACTGGCTTTCCGTTTTTTTTTAAAGATGGTAGTTTTTTTGTTTTGGTGGTGATGGGTCTCTGCAGTGCCCTTCCTGTGCACCTACGCGGTCTGCTTATATGGTAGAGTTCTGGGACAAAGCTTGTCAGCGGCCCAGCCGTAACATCCTCTGATAGTCTCATCGAGCAGTGGTTTGGATTTACATGTTAATTAAAGCTGTTCTAAGCAGATTGTCTAATGGAAGGTTAAGAACTGGGTCCCCAATAGTTATTTAAAGGCTGGAGAGGGAGCTGCAGGAAGAGGCAGTGGCAGCAGGACGTCCTGACTCTGAAGAACGTGACAAACGCCTGCGGTTGGGAACACACCAGGTCTGGTGCTGGGTGCAGGCGCTGGGTGCAGGCGCTGGGTAGTTGGCGGGTGAGCGCAGCTCGTTGCTCTCTAGGATTGGGGCTGCTCCTTAGTCTCCACTTCCATGGATCCACCATTTTATAGTCAGAACAAGGCTTAGATCCACCTGCTTTTTTAGAGGAGACCAAGGCCAAGTGATTATTTTTTTGGAGAATGCTTCCGTTGCCAAATCCGTGTGGCTCCTCTGTTGGATGAATAACAGCAAAGCGTCTCAGGCTTTTTCTGGGTAAGTTTAAACAGAGCGTGTGCTGAAAACTGACTGCAGCCGCATGGCCGAGCTGCATCTGCCCTTGATTTGGCTATGCCCTGGGGAGGCGGTGTTCTGGCCACGAGTGATTGCATGTCACAGGCTAGGGTGGTGCCTGGGGGCTGGACAGGGCAGCCCAGCTGAGCGTGGTCTGCATTAGGGCCCGAACCATCCACGTGGGGCGTGTACTGTGGCCACGGCGCAAGGGACGGGACGTGTCACTCTTTAGGACTGTCAGTGGCATCTGAATTGGCTCAGTATTTGTGGACGTGGTGTTACCCTGAAGCACTGAGCTTTATTTTATAGTAAGTAAGATCTTTATTTGGTCCAATTTAAGCTTATAGTTTATAAGCTATCTAATCCATTGTTGTTTTTTTCTCAGAGGGGCAAACCTTTTGTGATAGTGTTAGTTTTGCTTTCACTTAAAAATTAAAATTCTTGGTTGAGAAAACTCAGAGGACACATAAAACTATGCAGACGGTTACATCAATATTGATATTTTCCCCATTACCTCATCAATAGTATTCACCACGTTTCGGTAGCTACTTATTCATTGGAGCGTTTGAATTAAATTCTGCTCTAAATGGTGTGAATGTGTTGAGAGGCTTTGCTTTTCACTGTGAAATGCAGTGGTGCCTCAAATAAGGAGGCACCTAGAAGCCAAGTGAAAGTAAAACTGACGAATTCTTGTTGGCTTTGATGCTTCATTTTATGGAACTCATTTTTCATGTAACTTACAACAGGAAATGCTTACCGTTCATTCCTGAACATTTTTAAAAGCACAACTTCAAACACTTAGGTTGTATAAGGCAGTAGGAGTCTGTGTCCATCTAACCGTTGGTGCATAGCCGCTGCTGGATTTAATAATACTCATGATCACCTGTCTTTGCGTTTTGAGAATGTTCTAATCTTAGTGAACTTGAGTTGAGCTGGGCTTCTGGGCAGCTTGTTTATGTTTCATACTTTTTTCTTGTTCCTGTGTGTGATATTGTTAGAGTGTGTGCAGAAATTGTGGTCTTAACCACCCCACTGATAAAAATTCACAAGGGTGCGTTTAAGTTGCTCTCTGTCCCAAGGCCTTATTACACTCTGCTCTCAGACTGCCATCCAGGCTTAGAGGGATCACAGCATAAGAGAAGTAAAACTTTCAAAGAAACAGTACTTCAGGAAATATAGATGATTGGCCAACTTAAAATATGTTTCTTTTTGTTGCAACATGCAACTACGGTCGCCCCAAGTTTTAATTCCATTTTTCATTCCTGGTCTTGGCCTGGTCGGGTGACATCAGCAGAATTGAAATTGAACTGAGACCAAAATGGATTCAGGAGGATGATCTACTCAGAGGGAATTTCTAAAATGATAGTGTTCCAGAAAAAGGAAGGTAGTAGGAATGACACTGTGCTTACTTTCTGTCCCAGAGTTTATTGCAGGAGTTCAGTGGTTTGGACCCTATGGTCTTGGCAGAAGGATAATGTCTACCTTAAACAGGCGTGACTTAAACCTTTGAGCTCATTTAAGGTGCATTAAACCTAAAAGAATTTCCCTGTAACAAGTTCCATGGAATTAACTCTCCTCACTGAGAACTTTTCCCACTTCCCCTCCTCACCTGCTAAGCTCCTACATTTACAGCATCCATTGATTTCACTCATAACACATGGAACAGTGAGGGTGGCAGCTGAGAACAAGCTGCCAATGTGCGCTCTTTCACTTATGATCTCAGCGTCGGGGGGAGGGGCGGGGATTTGATCTGAAATGTCAGTTCCTCTTCCTTAGAATCTAGCATATCCAAAAATGCTTTAAAGGCACAGAACAGGATTGACCCTGCTGTCTAGATAGAGCCATTTACACTTTTGTTATTCTGTACACATTCGGTTAATATCTGATAAATACTGGTGTTTTTCTCTGATTGTGGAAAACAGACATTGCCTTTGTTTTCTTTCATTATTCTTTTTTTCCTCCAATTCTAGAGCTTATCAAGTAAAATCTCAGGCCACCTGAATCTCACACCTCTGTCAGGAAGAAACACCTTTGTTGGTTTTTATGTGCTTGTGTTTTCCTTTGTTTTTTAAGAGGCTGTGTTATTCCTCCTGCCCTCTTCACCCCAAGGTGCTCTTTCACTTGAGAGTTTGTAGTCTGCTTTTTGAAGAGCTTCCAGATGGTGACGGTTAGGTGCTCTCTCCCCTTTAATGATCTAGGATTCTTACCTCACAGCACAGAAGTAGGACTCAGATAGACTTCCTGGCTTTTTCTCCTTTTTGGTGTTAAAGTTTGATTGTTTTCCTCTCTCTCTCTCTTTCTAAAGCAAGACTTGGCAGGTACTCCCCCTTTGAAAGCCAGAAAGTGTTTTCAGAAGTGTAAACCTCCGGGGAATGTTATTTGTAGGCATACACAAAAATACATAGGTGCCTTTTTAAAAAGATCTGTATCTACTTAAAAGCAATAAAAAGGAAGCCCTGAATGTGTGTGGAGTGAATCTGAATCTGAAATGTGTGTGAAAGGTATAGAACCCCCAAATAGTTGAGCACAGGCAGGGCACAGTGTCAAGGAATTTAGAAATGGCCCAAGGAACTGTACGAAGGGAACTGAAGAGGGAGGAACTGATTTTAGATTAAAAGTGCCTTTTAAAAACAAAACAACAGACGCCTGACAGACCTCCATGGCTTACGTCATACAAGGATAAAAATCTGAACCAGTGGAAGACTTCTGTGCGTGGATTCCGCAAACTCCTTTTTCTAAAGTTTAAGTCCCCTGCTTAACAGAAGGAGACTATGTAATGCTTAACTCTTTCGGAAAAACTTCTTGGTGATGTCTTCTGAGGGACTGGAGAGATCAGGGAGCCACTGCTGGGTTATGCAGTGAATTAAGACATGGGCAGCTGATGATTGATACCTGTGTGATCCAGTTAATAACTTGGAGCTGTGAGAAGCACAACACTAAACTGGTTTGGCTCCTCCCACCCTTGGTAGCAGTAGCAGTAGAAGCAAGGCAGGCTCGGCCGTGACCGGAAGGGACGTGTGCGCGTGTATGAATGTGCCTGCTTGCTGGCCTGCAGTCGCATTGGGACGTTCTCACGTACGCGAGGTCCCACAGCCTGAGACCCAGCCACATTTGGGAGGGTGAAGGTGAGCTGTCCCGTTTGCATTTTTTTCTTTTCATGGTAAATTGATATTTGTTACCGGGAATGGTGGAATGGGTTAGTAGGCATAATTGAACTATACAGAGTGGTGGAGATAATTGTAGTGGAAAGTCATATCAACAAGCCATTTATTGCGTATATCTCTGTTCCCAGGCCTTTATGGCCATCTGTATATTTCCATATTTTGAATACTCATTAATAGGGAGAACACTGACCAGAGCTTTATCGCATTCTTGTTGATTTCTTGGGTGTAGTTGTGGGTCAGGGGTGAGATGGCCGAAACATGGGTAATCCAAGGAAAGGATACGGGGCTGGAGATAACCACGGTCTCGGCAATCTTTTGGGGGTGGTTGAGCTTAATTCTGAACTTTAAAATAATTTTTTGTACTCAAGACCTTTTGTATAGTGAAAAATGCCTTGATCTGTCTTCTCATAAATGGTGCTACAATATGGTACTCCTACAGGAACCAGAGCAATCCACAGTAATGTTGGTCACGTCGAGTACTTCGTTGTGGGAAGAAAGCCGAAGTGAATGTATTTAATGAGCCCCCTTCTCGTTTCCATTGTCTTTATAAAAACGTTGTGGTATTGTTACTCTCCTTTTAGCCGCTTCCGACTCTCTGTGTTGTGAATTCTGAGAGGGTAACGACCCACCTTCTGTCTCTGGTGGTGGTTTTCCTTCCTTGTCAGCCGGGCTGCGGGCTGCAGAGGGAGGGCAGCCGGGAACGTGGTGTGAACCTGGCCCGCTCGCCTTGGCTTGTTTAGCAGAGTGTCCTGTTTACACTGTATAGTGTCAGCACCTGTCAGAAACCGCGCCTGCTCAGAAAACTGTGCCCCCAAGGCGCCCGTCAGCTTGGGGCCTTGGTCCTACCTGCATCCGCGGCAGGAGTGTCCCCCGTGACGTGCTGAGTCTTCGTCTTCACCGTCAGAGGCAGAGCCTCCTCGGGTTTTGCTGCCGATCCCCTGTAGCAACCTGGCCACTGAGGATTGTAAAAATAAATAGCAAAAAACAAACTTAGAAAATAAAAACTCAGAAGCCTGGCTGTGTTGCTCTGGTTAAATGCCTGACTTTGAGGACCTGGGAGATTTGGGTTCAGTGCTTTAAACTTTCCGGCACCTCCAAGACGGGCCTGTGATGCCTGATGACTTTACAGTGCTGAACCTGTAGGAAGTGATCCGCCCAAATTAGATGCACACTTCTGGGCCTCTTGGGTCTGGATTCAAGACCAGTCTCATCACCCACTACTCGGGGGAGCTGGGCCCAGTTACCCCGCCTCTGTAGCCTCAGTCCTCACCTCCACCATGGTCTGTCTCCCCTGCGGGTGGGGGGAAGCAAGGTGCAAGCACCCAACAGAGTGCTTCCAGGAAGATCCCCTAGGCCTGCAAAGCAGGGCTGCAGTCACAGTCCAGACCCAGCCTGGCCGTGTGTTTGCCTGGGAGAGGCCCTCAGCGTGTGCAGCGTTCTTAGGTGTTCAAGAACCAACCAGACCGATGGGAGCGCGCCCAGAAGTGTGACAGCAAGACCTTGCATGCGCTGCGTATGAATCGGACTGCCACTGAGAGAGGTTAACCATCTGAAGAAGGGGGAAGACAGCAGGCTTTCACAGGTATTCTTGGGGTTAGAGGATGAAGTTTCGGCCACCGGTGCCCTACCTTCCTGTGAGTCAAAGAACTGAGTCTTTGCAAAATGGTGCTGGGCTTCTGAAGAACCCACTGCTTAGGGGTTGGGCATCCAGAGAGCAGCAGTGGCAGGTTGGTGGTGGCCGCAAAAAGACCTCCCATGCCAAACAGCAACAGCAAGCTCTCCTTCCTTCACCGCCCCGTTCAGTTGTGTTAATAAACTAAATGCTGCAAATACACTCTCCCCTTTCCCCCTCCTCTTGTCTGAGTTGTGGTGCTGTCCTCGATTCCGAGGGCAGTGTTTCTGGCATTTCTCCTCCATCGCCTCCCCCCACGGTAGGAAGTGTGGAGAGAAACGGGGATCTGGGCTGTGGATCCTAGGGAGGCCCTTAGGAATTATAACCATCAAATGATCAAGAAAATACCGACTGTCATATGTGTGTAAAACGAGAGTATTTATGTGTATATACAGTACATTCCCACTTACCATGTCTCCCTTGCTCGAAATCTCGGCATTCTTTCTGCAGATTCTCTAAATTGTCTCCCCTTCCCACTCCGGCCCCTGCCTCTTGTCTGGGCTCCGTGTGAGTGGCCTGGTAATGACCTTCTGACTTGCTGGGTCTGGAGGGTTCATTCCAGACTTCCAGCCCCCAGCACAGCTCCAGAGGCAAAACCGATTTGGCCCTGGGGCGGAAAAGCCCAGGGTGACACTCTCCCAATCAGCTCCCTAGGGCTGAGTGCGGATTCTTCCCCTCCCCTGTCCACGACCCTGCAGCCCAGCCCTGCACCCTTGCAAGACCCTAGCAAGATGGCTGAGAGGTCTGGTGATGGTGGTTTTTCGTTCTCTGTTACAATTTGGAATATTCATTTAAGCTAAGGACACTGTCCTCCAAATACCTGCCTAGTGCCGTCTCCCGAAATCAGGAACTGGGATGCAGTTTATGGCAGATAAAAACACTGCCATGCTGTGCCATTCCTGAGGAGACCGCACTCCTCAGAATGTTGGGGAGGATGCTAAGAACATAAAGAGCAAACAGTGGAAGTTGTCTTTTATGTTCTTGGAGATCACATCCTGATTGTGCTAGATGGTGAGGAACTGTGATACACTAAGGTTTAAAAAAAAATCTTTAGAACAATTTTATAATTAACATCATTGGCTATTTCCAGTGTTCTCAATTATAAGTAGTGCTATAATGAGCCTTCTCATTCATCGATCTTTTTATGCATCCTTAAATTGACCCTGTTTAAGGCTCTTGGAACGTATTTCCAACCTTCCCTTAAAAGAGTTGCAGGGGGCTTCCCTGGTGGCGCAGTGGTTGAGAGTCCGCCTGCCGATACAGGGGACACGGGTTCGTGACCCGGTCCGGGGGGATCCCACATGCCACGGAGCGGCTGGGCCCATGAGCCATGGCCGCTGAGCCTGCGCGGCCTGTACTCCGCAACGGGAGAGGCCACAACAGCGAGAGGCCCGCGTACCGCAAAAAAAAAAAAAA